GTATTTCAGCATCTCGTGTTTTGCACTCCCTTCTTCCTCCAAGATCAAGGCTGTGAACACCGCTGGACTTTAAAGGCTCAGCCCCTGACTCATGCTTATGGGATAATCCCCTGTACCCCAGATCCCAGCCGAATGTGATGAGTCAGATATCCTCTTAGAATCTAAAATAGAGAATATTGATGATGGTGATTGTTTCTCATGCACTTACTTTCAAACACATATTAATATTAAATTATTAACATAGCAATATTAATGTTAATATTATCTTTTTTCTATTTTTTTTATTGTGGTAAAATACACTGTATTCTCTTACTTAATTTTCATCCCAGTCCTGCCTGGTAGATGCTATCATCCCCATTTTACAGACTTGGAAACAGAGGCCGAAAGAGGCCCTTGTGACTAGATTCACATTCTTGTGCATCTGAGCTGGGAGTGCGGGGCAGCATGTTCTCAAAAGCCATCTGCCTTCTCAACACTTTTTTTGTGTGTGTGTTCATTTATTTTTGAGAGAGAAAAAGACAGCACACGTGCGGGGGAGGGGCAGAATCTGAAGTAGGCTCCTGGCTCCTGCTCCTGGCTGTCAGCACAGAGCCCGATGTAGGGCTCGAACTCGTGAACTGCAAGATTCATGAGCCAAAGTGGGATGTTTAACTGACTGAGCCACCAGGCGCCCCTCGTTTTAAAGGAAATATGTACTTATTAGTATACTTATTATATTATATGTAAGTATATTATATGTATACATTATATATATTATACACAAGCATATAAGAAGTATATACTTACACTTATCATAGATGTAATAGAAAGTTAGAGGGTTCTGTGTGACAGCAGGACAGGTGAGACAAAGGTGCTCTTCCATGGCCAGCTCTATGGAACAAACTCAGCCTGGTGTCAAGCCCCCTCCTCCTTCTCCCCTACTGTTCCCCCCCACCCCCATCCCCCAATCCTTGGGGCCTGGCCAGACCTGTTGGCAGCCCTGACTTTTGTTCCTGGACAATTGCCCTGCTGATTAGATAGGGTTAGATGTGCAGATGGGTTATGGGTAGATAATTCGAGGTCAGTGAGAGGTTCTCCACCAGCCCCTCTCTCTCTGTCCGGCACCCACAGAGCTTGCAGCAGGGCTGGAGGAAGGTGAGATGAGAAAGGGGACCCGCGAACACTTCCAGCGTGGTGCCCCAGGCACGTTTCCTGAGCCCGTTTCTGCAGCTGAGTGCACCCACCAAAAGCCCCCTGGCTCCCTCTTTTCTTTAGGCTGTGAGCCGAAGGAGGACCCAGTGATAGTGCTGCTGGAGCAAGGGGAAGGTCTGACAGCGCATGGCCTGGCTGGGGCTACGGCAGGAAAATGGCCTCCCGCCCTTCATTTGAACGAGGCTAGACCATAGCCCTGCTGGGATAGCCCTCCTCCCCGCGTGGGGGCTTCTGTCCTGGAGGCCGTGGGGCCTTGGATGTCTAGCTGTGGACATCCCTGTGGCTGCTGGCTCTTCCTCCTTGCTGGACCCCTGGGCCACTGCTGAGGGACAAGTGTCCTTCCCAGTCATAATGTTGGACCTTGAGCGTCAAGACCAAGGTCTCTTTGCCCGTCTTCACCAGCAGTGGAGACACCTCCACCCTTCGTGTTTCTGGTGGAAGTCACTGGAGCTTGGGCTTTGAAAACCACAGTTTAATAATCCTTTACTGAGAAGCTCCTGAAGGGCCACCCTGGCCAGGGAACCGTGAATCTTCAGCGTCTCAGGCACAACAGGGGGGCCAAACGCTGGAGGAGAGAACACCGCTGCGTGGCAGGCCTGGACGCCCACGCCGCTGGCACTGTCCTCCCCTCCGCTCTTTGCCCCATTAGTTTCTTCTCTGTTGAGGAGTCGCAAGGCCGCCATCAAAGTCACGTGCTTTCTGCACCCCACAGCACAAGTTGAGTCCTTTCCCGTAACGCACCAGTGATCTCAGACACCAAGTGTCATCTTGGGAACCCAGAGCAGCACTTTTGGGGTGGGACCCCCAGGCAGAGTTTGGTGGCTGGTGACAGGAGAAGGCTGCAGGCTGGGGGCACAGAGCGGTGGGGGCCCCGGAAGGTTTCAGGGGAGCTACTTTTTCTCCTCTTTTCCCATCGATTGTACACTTTTCTAAGTGACAGGCACTTTGTTTTCTAGTGAATCCTCCTGCCTTAAAACATGCCGTCACTCACTCTCTCTTACTGTTCAGGGAAGTAAAGTTTAGGGAAGGGCAGTCTGAAGAGAGTAGATCTAAGTCTTGAATCCAGATCTGGTGTATATGTTCTCAGTCACCGAGTTACCTCCGCCATTTCCTACGGAAGCCTGAGTTGCATGATGGGTGCCTCTTGCTGGTGGGACTTTCTTATTGGGGAGGTGTCAGACACCCTTCGAGGCAATCACCTATGGGGCCCGGGATGCGAGACTGAGAGTTTTAGCAAAACGTGGTCCTGGAGGCCTCAGAGGCAGGGCCTTGTGTGGGAGATGTGAGCAAACACAGGTGCATTTCTGTCTCCCAGGGCTCCGAGCCCAGCTTCCCCAGGAAATGGGCTGGCTGTTTTCAACAGCGTTTTCCTCTTACAAAAGCAGTATCTTCTTTCAAAACCGGCCTCTTCTTCCTCTCATCCCCAACCCCTCTCCACAGCTGGGTGATAAGCAGTGAGATTGCACAGCCCCCAGCTGTGCCGGAGCTGGTGATCCCCACCAGGACTCTGGTCACATTGGGACCCCCCTGCTTGGGGGATGGGGTGTGGGTCCACTTCCCCTCGGGTCTGTAGAAAATCCCAGGCAGAGGCTGACTGTGGGCCTGGAAGGGAGAGGAGAGCAAGGTGCTGTGGAACCCCAAGATGGTGGTAAATAAAAAAAGACACCCCCCCACCCCCACCCCCAGATAAGTACACAGTGAGAGGACACCGGGCAGGAATATATGGACAGGGGCAGCTGGGGGAGGAGATGGAGCCACGAAATAAGTTATCTGAAAGAAAAGATTTCTCTAATACTCTAGTATTTTTTACAACAACGAAAACAGTCTTAACAAAATGAAAATAGAGGCTGTGCCCTCTCATTTCCTGCCAGGTTCTAGCGCCAGCACTAGAGGAAGGGCGCCCAGTAAATAGTCCTTCTTGCCCTTTCCTCTGAGCTGTCTCACACTTACGGGGGGTCCCCGAGGGCACCGTCTGGCCCATCGGCGCCCCGCCCTGACACCATTCGGCATCACCCACAGGTGCAGCAGGATCTTCTAGAAGTCCCCTCGTTTCACATCAGCTCCTCACCGGCTCCTTCACCCGGTTGCCCAATTTTTACATCCACTAGATTGTCTGCTGCACAGGGGCAGGCGTTTTTACTCTCTTGGTCACTGCTGTGTCCCTGACTCTGTGCCCTGGGGCTCTGGGGAGAGCACTGAGTCTACACCTTCAGGAGCTCCCATTCTGACAAGTGGCCAGGCAAGGGACAGGCAGTGGGATATGGGCAGTGATGGAGTGGGTGCGGGGTGCTCTGGGCTCTGTGCCCCCAACCCAGATGTGCCAGTTGGCTGTCAGGAAGGCTTCTTGGAGGAGGTGATATCTTAGTGTGATCTTGGAAGCTGAATGTGAGCTAGCCAAGCATGACCTAGAGGACATTCTAGGCTGAGGATCAGTATATGCCCCCTGCCCACCCTTAGGCTGTGTGCCAGCCTTCGCAAAGCTTTTTGATGGCACACACATGCGTCTTCTCACTCACGGGAGTGGACTGGCCTACAGAAGGCGGGTGTGTTTGCAGGGACAGAGAAGTAGCCTATGTTGGTAAATTCCTAGTGAGGCATGGTTTAAAGATAAAGTCAGAGCTGGGGGTGTCATAATGCTGCCTCCTCTTCCCTACCTGCGTGAATGGATATCCCTTCTTGCTCACAGGCTCTGCAACTCTGCCATATAAACCTACACAGCCATTTCTTTGCCCCTAATGATCACTGGTGTGGTGATCCTTTTGCCAGTTCTTTGCCACGTTGTTCCCCCAGGGCAAGAGGAAGTGGTGGGGGAGGGGGATCATGAGCCTGGTGACCTTTCTGGGGAGGAGGGGCAGTTCTGGTGCTGCTGCTACTGCTCACTGTTGCAACTTTGCAGGGCAGGTGGGAAGAAGGCCAGCCGGCCCTGCTATAGGGACCAGACATTGGCTCTTGAGCCCCCCACGTAGTTGAGTGCCGTTTGGTTGGTGCGCAGAAGCGTGAAGTTGCCTAGAAGTGGGTTGGATCTGAAACAAGAGAGTTCTTTCTGTTTCCCATGGAATGTGGCTGCTGGGGAGAGACCCCCGCCCAGATTCTAGGGGGCCTGGGAAATTGAAGCACGCGCTTTTTCTCTTTATGGAGTCACCCTGTTCCTTGTTGGAGCCACAAGGTGGTGCTGTTGGCGCAGGGCTGCTTGGGTGATACACAAGGGGCTTCGATGTTGCGTTTTCTCTCCACAGACTAGAAAATAACAGTATGGATGAGCTCTCATTTCCTCTCCTGAGATTCCCTTCCTGGAATTCTTCCTCACGCTTTTGCAGCTTGAGGTGCCTCCACATCCCTACCGCAAACACACACACATGGGCATTAGGGTGCTCGGCTTTTTCTCCTCGTCCTGAGACCAGGCATCTGAACTCTGATCCCGACAAGACTTACTAGTTCTTTCCCTTAGCAAGCTGCCAGGTGGACAGGGATTTAATAAACTGCTTTGCCCTAATTAATTAGTGAGACTTAATGGGTTACCTCTGGGGTAATCTGCCTTGTAACTGTCATGATTGCAACTAAGCCCTATACCCCCAAGAGGTAAATTGCTGGCCCTCTGCTGTGGATGGGGGTGTTGTTTTTGGAAGAAGGTTGGTTGGAGAGGCATTGAAGGAGGGTGTGGCTTTGTCCATCCCGCTGGTGCCAACACAGCAACGGGATAGGGCATGAGGCAGGCGTGTCCTGGGGACCCCTAGAAGCCCCTGTGAGGGCCTCAGAGACCATGTGACTTGTGGGGAGGCTGACCGCCTGCTCGTCTTTCCTTTGCCCAGACGTTCACGGCATGGTGCAACTCCCACCTTCGCAAGGCGGGGACGCAGATCGAGAACATCGAGGAGGACTTCCGGGATGGACTGAAGCTCATGCTGCTGCTAGAGGTCATCTCAGGTGAGGTAGGCCACCCTGGCCGAGGACAGGGTGCTGCCTGACACCCGCTTCTGCTCTGCCTTGGGTCGTGGTGAGCTGTGGGTCTCTTGAAAGAAGTGAGGGGCGGCCTGTGTGAATTCAGACGAGGAGACCAGGTTTGCTTCCGGCTCTGCTGCTGCCCGCCACCCACGTGTCCTTGGATACGTTACCGCCTTTCTGCCTTAGCACCGTCATTTGCAAAAAGAGGGAGTTTGGAGGGTGGTCTCAGAGGCCCCTTCCCCTCCAAGTGCTAGCATTTTGGGGTCTTCATATAAGCTTGGCTGACTATCTCAAACCTCGGCCCTGCTACAACCTATCTGCCTATATCCAGATGGTTCCACTCGCTTATCTGGCCCCCAGTGTAGAATCTGGATGTCCAGAAATCTGGAGGGGGAGCTCCCCTTAAATGTGGATCTCTGACTGTCTTATGAACACCTTCCCTCCCCCATGCTTAGATGTGGGTGGTTCCAACTGCCTTGGTTTATACACTGGGTGATCTTAGCTGCTCTCTTCACTTTACCATCTACCTCCACCCCAGGGGATCCCAGACCTGGTCTCAGTCCAGCCTTTTCTCTCAACCCCATCTCCAGCCAGATGCCCTCTAGGGTCCCCTCAGCATGTCCAAAACTGTGCTGGTCAGTCCTGGCCCCGACAGACCTCTTCCTCTTATAATCTTCATCTTATCCTCCTGAGCCTAATGTAGGAATCAGGGACTGCTCCCCCTCTGCCTCTCTCTCCAACTTGGCATTTGAGTTCTGTCCATTCTGTTACCCTTTTGGTTTTTTTTTAATGTTTATTCATTGTTGAGAGAGAGAGAGAGAGGTGGACAGAGGATCCAAAGTGGGCTCTGTGCCGATAGCAGCAGGCCCAGGGCGGGTCTTGAACTCACGAATCATGAGATCGTGACCTGAGCCAAAGTCGGACACTCAGCTGAGCCACCCATGCGCCCCTTTCTGTTATCCTTTTAACCTCTGCTACCGTGGTATCAGTGTGGGTCGGGGGTCAGCTCTCACCCAAGTGGCCCACAGAGGTCCGCACCCCCCACCGGGCTCCTTCCCCACCGCTGCAGTCCATCACCCACCCCGCCACCAGAGGGGCCATCTGATGGCCCAAATATGGTCTCCCTGTTCCCTGCTCAGAACCCTTCAGCACCTCCCCAGGGCTCGAAGCCTGCGGCCCACGTTCCTTAGCATAGCTTGCAGGATCCTTCATGAGCTGGCACCTGTTTTGTTCTCAGCTAACTTCCCAAAAAGGTATCAGACCTCAGACCCTCTGCCACCCCAAGGGACATGCTTTTTGGAAACTCTCCGTGCTTTTGCATAAACTCCAACTGACTTTTTCCCCCTGATACTTTTAAATAACCTCTTGCAGGTGAAATCTTTGGGGTGGGGGGTGGGGATGGGGATGGAGGATTGTATGTGTGTGTGTGTGTGTGTGTGATTAAAATCAACATAATGTAAGTTAGCATTTTGAACATTTTTAAAGTCTATTTATTTACCTTGAGAGAGACAGAGACAGTATGAGTGGGGGAGGGGTAGAGAGAATGGCGGGGGGCGGGGGGGGTGGGGGGGAGAAGCCCAAGCAGGATCTGTACCATCAGCGCAGAGCCCGACGTGGGTCTCGAACTCATGAAACCATGAGATCACAACCTGAGCCGAAAGCTTAACCAGCTGAGCCACCCACACCCCAACATTTTGAACATTTTTAATCGTACACAGAGGTATTCAGTACGTTCCCGGTGTTGTACTGCCATCACCACCGTCCATCTCTAGACTTTTCCATCATCCTGCACAGAGACTCCGTGCCCATTAAACACTAACTCCCCCCTCCCTTACCCCTCAAGACCCTGGAAGCCACCATTCTTTAGTCTCCGTCAGTTTGGCCGTTCTCAGCACCTCATAATAGTGGAATCATGCAGTATGTGTGTGCTTTTGTGGCTGTCTTATTTCATTGTAACGGCTTCAGGGTTCATCCGTGTTGTAGCATGTATCAGAATCTCCTTCGTCAGGCCAATATCCCATCGTATGTACGTGCCACATCTTGCTTAGCCATTCATCTTCTGATGGGACATTTGGATGGCTTCCACCTTGTGGCTCTTGTGAAGAAAGATGCCGCTGTGAACATGGGTGTACAGATGTCTGTGCGAGTCCCCGCTTTCAATTCTTTGGGGTATAAACCTAGAAGTAGAAATGCTGGATCATATGGTAATTCTGTATTTTAACTTTTTTTAGGAACTGCCATACTGTTTTCCTCTAACCGCCTTTCAGAGCCTCCTTTCCTGCCTCCTCTTCCAGCGTTGCTTCGTTTAAACAAACCTGGTGTTGTTCTTTTTCATTCTTTAAAACTCAGCTCAGGGTTTCCCTCCAGGAAGGCTTTCCCCACACGAGTGGCTGCCCTCCTCTGGGCTCCCGTCACACCCCATTAATTCCTCTGTGGTGTCAGGTTCCCCATGGCACCATCATTTTTGGCTCTCTTGCTTTCTCCCCCTTCCACCTTGAGCTGCTTGGGGGCAGGGATGGTCTCATCTCTGTGTCTCAGGGGCTTCAGATCGTACTTGGCGTGTAGGCGATGCTTGGCAAGTAGAGTGAGCGGACGCCCTAAGCTGGGCTTTTCTGCGTAACCGCCAGTGTGTCCCCGCTGAACGGGACCCGTGCGTGTCTGTGAAGCGGGCTTGTCTCTTTCCGCGGAGTGGGGGAGATGGAGTCACTGAGACGTTGCCTTTTCTTCCTGGAGTGTCTTGAGGTTAATAGAGTGACAGGAGGGGGCTGCTGCCCGCAGAGGTCGTCTGAGAAGCACCCCTGGACCACCCACACTGGAGTCCACAGGACTCTTGGTCAGCGTGCAGGTTCCCAGAACATACCCCAAACCTCCTAAATCAGAAACGTATGAGGCAGGTAGAGGCTGGGCATCTGAGGTTTGAGAACTGCTGGCCTGGCCGCCTCCACGGTCCTGTTCCAGCCAGTGTGCACAGCTGTCGGCCGCTGGGGAGCCCAGCTTGGTGGACCTAATGGCTGGGGCAGCCTTCAGGGCAGGGGGCGGGATGGGGTGCCACTCCCATCCATCCTGTGGGAGGCTGTGGCATTTCATCTGCCCGAGGGGATGGTGGGGTACCTTGCTAGGGAGGCTGAGCAGCAGCCACGAGCGGAATGTCTTGATTTAATTGTAAAATCTCAGCTGTGCTGCCCTGGGAACTGCTTAGTCACATCTGTAGCAGGAAGTGTGTTCCCTAGAATCTGGGGGGCTGGGAGGCCCCCTGCAGAAGCAGGGCTCTGACACTACAGCCGCCCAGCACCTTGAGCTCTCAGCCAGGTGGCTCAGGTGCTTGGTGTGGCCCAGAGGGATGTGCCGCTGGGCCGCACTGGAGACCGTGGCAGGTGCAAGGGTCCTGAGCCTTGGGCTCCAGGGTAGTACTTCTCAGCCCTTTGGTGTCCTTTCAGAGAATCTACTGCTCTGTGTCCCTCCCCCTGGTATGGGCGCGCGTGTTACACATATACATTTTTCAAATAGTTTCAAGAGGTCCCTCAGCGCCTCTCTTCTGAGCCGAAAGTGCTCTTAGTGGGCTGTTGGGAGAACCATTCTTTCCCCACAGCTTCTGGGCCCGAAACCTGAGTTGGAGGAGGGAGTGGTGTGGGGGGGGGGGGGGGGGGGTTGACTTGGAGCTGAGCTGAGGATGTCCCTGCGAGAGGCAGCAGGTTCGAGTGAGAGAGGGGTGCTGTGGACAGCTCCATTTAAACCCCAGAGAACATTTCCAGAATATCCTAGAGTGCTGACACACCTTCCCAGGCCAAACGTTCTAGTCTAGAAGGGGTTCGGGGCGCTTGCATGTGCTGTTCCTTCTGCCTTGAACATCATTCCCTGCTGTCCCGGCCTGGCCCTCCCTGACTTCCCCGACTCCTTCATCCTCCACCTGCGCTCCTCTGCATCCTCTTTTTAAGTACTTACCCTTCTCGGTGTTTGCTCATCCGCATATATTTATTCATGTGTTTCTCTCCTCTTGGTGCATAAGTGCACAAAGGCAGGAAAACTGATCCATTCACCCCAGTATTCTTGGCACCCAGCCAAGTCCCTGACGTGGGGGGCTTACCAGAGATCTGTTGGGTGGAGGCAAGCTGTTCAGGTCTGAAAAGAGGCAGGGTCGGGTCTCCCTGCTGTCCCTGCCCGGGCGGCCCTTGCTCGCAGCCGGGCGTGGGGGTCGTGAGAGCGGCGGCCCTGCTCCCGGGAACTAGCATCTCACCCTTCCTGCCCTCCCTTTCCTTCCGTGTGCAGGGGAGCGCTTGGCCAAGCCGGAGAGAGGCAAAATGAGGGTGCACAAGATCTCCAACGTCAACAAGGCCCTGGATTTCATAGCCAGCAAGGGAGTCAAGCTCGTGTCCATTGGAGCCGAAGGTGAGTGAGGCCTGGTGTTGGGCTGCTCCGCGGAGCCTGATTTTGCTGCTCTCCTGGCCTTTTCTGCCCCGACTTCCGAGCACCCACATCACCGGGGGCATGAGGGAGTGAGGCTGCCAGCACCGCCATCTGGTCGACCTACGGATACTGCGTGTAACAACTATGCTTTCTACCCCATCTCAGCGCTCGCCACCCCTGAGTCTGCCCCCTGGAAACCAAGGGCCTGCTCCCTCGTCCTCCCCTCAGTGCCAGCCCTCCCCTCCACCCCCCAGTCTAATCCTGGTGCCATGGGATCCCGTGGGAGTGGAATGCTACCTCCCGCCCCTGCAGACCTGCCTGCACTTTGCTGCCCGAGGCGGGGAATTCTGTCGCCTGGAGAGCATCAGACACGGACTGTTGGAGAGTGAGGGCTGCCCCGAGGCCCCACGGAGTCCCAGGAAGACTAATGTCCAGAAGCCTTCCGGGACATTCCTAATAGCATTTCTCTGCCTTTTAGCTTCTTGACTTTTTCTTCCCTTGGGAAAAAAAAAAAACTTTAAAGCTCAGTATAAATTCTTACTAACTTGTTCTTAATGGTTTAGAGGAGGCACTGCAGTTTCTCATGCGCACTGCGGTGGCTCTGAAGGATTTGGGGAGGGCGGAGGGGATTAGAATAGGACACCCTAACCAGGCCGTGTCAGTGCTGTGCCCCACGGATTCGGCCGGGACCCAGCGGGCACCTGCTGTGCGGCACCAGAAGTCTAGAGACGGGAGAGTCCCCGCCCATTCATTCACGATTGAGGTATGCGCACAGCTGCGATCACGGAGCACATGCTCCGTGGAGGTGGCGTTCGAAGCCCCGTGTACCATGATCTCATTTAACCCTCACAGCAGCCCTCTCTGGTGGCCCCAATTATTATCCTCTTTTGATGAGAAGGAAACAGATGCCTAACGAGATGAAGTAACTTCCTCAAGGTCCCAAGGGCAGTAAATGGCAAAACCAGAACTCAGACCGGGTCTGCATGACCTCAAGGAGATGCCTTTTCTTAAAGAGGGTGGAGGACTTGCTCCAGTAAATCATAGGAGCAGATCTTTCTGTTGGATAAGTTTAAAGCCCCCTGCCCCCCCCCTTTTTTTTTTTTAGAAACAGAGGGATTTTACATTGCTATACCAAACACAAATGGTCGCACAGTATTGGCAAGTGGAGTCCATGGTGTCAAATCCGGCTGACACGGATTTTGTAAATATTGGAACGCAGCCACACCTGTCTGTTTACATATTATCTGCATCTGCTTTCCTGCCACAATTGGCTTCAGAATAGTTGCGACAGAGACCATATGGCCTGCAAAGCTGCAACGATTTCCTATCAGGCCTCTTACAGAAAAACGTTGCCAGTCCCTGCCTTGCTGGGGACTCAAGCTGATGCTTGAGCAGTCATGGGTAGTGCCTCGTGTGACATGGGTGGTGCCTTGTGTGTTCCGGCAACACCTTCAGCCGCAGAGCAAAGACTGCATCTTCTACATCCGTGCGCACCGGCTCCTAACAGTCTGATGCACATAGTAGGTCCTCAGTAAGTGTTCAAAGGACTCACACATGGCAGGGTACTCTGTATTGTGAGTGGGAACATATTCTCTGCTTTTTAACAAGAAGAAAAGAGTACTTTGGTCTATTAGGGAGGAGTAAAGACTGGCAGAAAGAGTTTCAACTAAGCAGGGCTGGGAAATCAAAGGGAATGGCACTCAGCTGCTCTGGAGCGAGCGCACATGCCCACTGGGGCAGGGAAGTAAAGCCTGTAGAAGGTGGGCCAGGGGTGACAGTAACGGATAGGTGAACTGTGGAGAACTGGGTAAGCATGTCCTTCTAAGCAGGGCACCCGCCATGCAGATCTAATCGTGTGCCGCCGTATGGAAATACAGGTTCCAGCATTGCCACATCTTCCAGTTTTTTAAAAGAAGCCAGAAATCCAGATTAAAAAAATTTTTTTAATGTTTTATTTATTTCTGAGAGAGAGAGAGAGAGAGACAGTGTGAGCAGGGGAGGGTCAGAAAGAGAGAGAGAGACACAGAATCGGAAACAGGCTCCAGGCTCTGAGCTGGCTGTCAGCACAGAGCCCGATGTGGGGCTCAAACCCATGAACCGTGAGATCATGACCTGAGCCAAAGTCGGACGCTTAGCCGACTGAGCCACCCAGGCGCCCCAGAAATCTAGAATTTTAGAAAGAAAAATTTAACAGCTACCTACAAAAAAAAAAAATTTTTTTTTTTAAATCTCTGAGATCGAAAGGGGAGAAGGGAAGGGGCAGATGGGAGAGAATAGGCCTTGCTTCTGGCTCGTTGCGTGGCTAGAATGGACGCTTTGCATGGGGCATCCCCTTCAACATGAGGGCAGGCCTGTAGGGCGGGTATCACCGGCTGCATTTTGCAGTCAAGGCAACTGGAGCTTACAGACGTTGCTAGAGGTTTGAACCCGAAGGTTTGGGCTCCAGAGCTGAGGTCTGACCTCCTTCCTGTCACTCTGGACACTGCTGGAGACCCATGCAGGGGCCAAGGACAGGACAGTGCCAACTGCCTTTCCTCCGCTGTGAAGTGGCAGATCAGGTTGGCTGTGCTCCCCCAGCAGGAGGTGAGGAGTAAACAGACACTGGCTCAAACTCCACCCAGCACCTCTGGCCTTCCCGGAAGTCCGTTAACTGAGCTGGCCACAGTTTCTAATTGTTTTCACATGGGCTCACGCCTCTAAAAATTTTTATTAATTTTTTTTTAAGTTTATTTATTTGAGAGAGAGAGAGTGAGCATGCACGAACAGGGGAGGGGCAGAGAGAGAGAGAGAATCCTTAGCAGGCTCCACACCATCTGCATGGAATCTGATGCAAGACTCCAACCTATGAACCGTGAGATCCTGACCCAAGCCAAAGTTGGACACTTCACTGACTGAGCCACCCAGGCGCCCCTCCTCTAAAGATTTTTAAAGCCTCCTTTAAAATGAGATAATCCTTACCTTCTCTCTGCTCAAGCCTTCAGGCTGAGCCTTCCACTTTGAAATCCTCTCTCCCTCTTCACGGCGAGCGCTCAGACCATGCTGAGATGGCTTCTCTGCTGTGGCGGAACCTGGATGAGGCCATGAATGGGTTCTGTTTATTATAATGAACTGAAGTTTACTTCTGCAGACTATAAGATAACAGGCAGTGGAGCAGATCACCCAGAATGAGCTCTCCTGGGGACTGGGGTGGGGAGAGAGGTTGCTGGGTATCCCAAGGAGCCATCTTGGGCTGAGGGGAGCAGACCTGGCATTGGCAAGACCTCAAGTGGTGCAGGAATTGTCACGTAGACTCTGGTCAAACCCTGAAGGGCAGAACCAGGCCTGGGAGACTCCCTGGATGGGCCGATTCTGCAGAATGTGCAGAACGTACGGGAATGGAATGGATGTTCTTTGAGGGAGCGGGACATACGGCCCCTGTCCCCGAAGGTGTTCAGACGGAGGCTGAAGGCAAAGAGCTTCCGTACATCCAGGAGGGATTAGGATGGGTCTTAACGGTGTCCAGACTTCATAGAATTGAGGCTTGCCCTGAGTGAGAGGCTGGGATTTAACCAGGTGCAAGGACCCGGAAGGATTTTTTATGTTAAGATCTTAGGGCAGGGGAAGCTTGATGGCTTTGGGGGCTAAGATCCTGACAGTGGTCTTGCTGATTTCTCACGTGTCCTCAGGGTGGAGGGGGCAGTGAGTGCAGTAACTAAAGCATTGGTCTGGGAGGTAGTGACCCCCGGGTCTAGTTCTGTCATGTGGAATGTGTTCATTCTACCCTCTGAATCGTGTGCAGGCGACCACATCCCCCACATCCCTGGAGTGGGGGCAGGGGGTAAGTGCGGGATGCGAATAGCTCCTTGGCTGGCCGTAGACCAGAAATTCAGAAACATGCCCCCACTCCTTCCCACACCCATGCACACATTGCAGTCTGTCATCGTGGTTTTGTCCACAGGGCCCCGTGGTGGCCTTGGGATCCTCCTTTTGGACCCAGCATGCGTGGTAGCCTCCTGATGTAGAGCTGCTGGTGAGATGGGGTGTCCGTGCTCCACACAAACAGATGCTTGGGAAAAGGGTTGGTTCTGGGGGTCCTCTGGGTGGGCTGTTCTCTGGGGGTGGGACAGGGAGCCAGTGGGCCCTGAGGCTGGGGTGGTGCATGGAGTGTTAACACACACCCCCCTCTTTTTGCCTGTACTTGGCTCTCTTGTTTCCCAGAGGATCTGGTATAAGTGAGAATTCAGGGAGCAGAACTCCCTGGGGGGTTTCTTGGGGGAGGAAGGAGAGAGGAGTAAGCAGGCAAAACCCAAGGCAGAAGCCACTCTGTCTCCCTGAGCTTGTCTCCCTTGGTGCTGGGAGGCCACTGAGCTCCAGGCCAGCAGGAGGGTATTTGGCCTTCACAGTTGGGGCAGAGGCGGGCCCCATGCTGCGGCCTCCACTGAGGGGACGGTCACGTGGCCCCATTACCATTGAAGCCTCTTCTAGCCTTTAAAAAAATACCCCCTGTATTTGAAACACTGTCCATGAAATTTCATACTTGCTTTTCCCAGTTTCCATATTACAAAGATTTCTCCAAGTCATTAAAAAGTCGTGAATGTAGGGTTTAGTGGCTGTGTTAATTGTGGAGCACAGCTGTGCTCTGTCCCAGACCTGGGTCCTGCTCTGGAGGAGCCCGAGAGTGGTCCTGTCCTCCCAGCCCCCAGCCTGGGTGACTTCCACCCACGCACCCACATGTGTGGAGTGCCGTCCGGTATTCCTTCATCCCTTCATTCCTCCATTAACAAATGTTGATGGAGGGCTTTCTCTCTGCCAGGCACTGTGCTGGGCTCTAAGCAGTGATGCAAAACAGAGGAATTATTCCCCTCATGGAGCTTATGTTCTGGAAGGGGAACGGAGGAAATGCATCCATACATGTGTCAGAAGGAGAAAAACTGAAGCAGAGAGTAAGGTGGGGGGTTTCCAGGAGAAGGTGCAGTGGAGATGAGGGACAAGTCACATGGATGTCCAGGAAGGGGAGCGCTACGGGGAAGCCATTGACTGGAGGAGATGGGGGCACCGTGAGGGCCCCACTGGCCACTGGCTTTGACTCCCAACTAAGGTGGGAAGCCATGGAGTTTCTGAGCATGTGGGTGACAGGGGCTGAGGATTTATTCAATCACACCTTGAACTTGGTATATTCTCAAAGTTTCCAACTTGGGGCCATGATAAATGACAGTAGTAGCCTTACTCTGCATTTGAGGTCATTGGCTAGGGATGGCTTCCTAGAGGCAGATTTCACTGAAAAAGTCAAACGACTTCAAGGTACTTGAACCTGTTGCCACATTATTTCCCAGAAAGTGTTTTTTTTAAAACCAGTTTATACTTCTAGGCACGGTGTGGTAGCCTGGTTACCATCAAGGTGTGTGTTCCTTGTTTTGTAACCTCACTAATTTCGTAGCTGGGAAAATGCTATCTTCTTTAATTACAGGGAGATGGAACATGGTTATAAATTGGTTATGTTTTTACTGTTTTGTGAAGTATTTATTCATGTCTTTTGCCACTTGTGAATTTAGATTTTTTTCTTATCAATTTGCATAACCTCTATTTTTTAATTTAAAAATTTTTTATTTTTTATTTTTTTAAAACTTATTTTTAATGTTTTATTTATTTTTGAGAGAGCACAGCAGGAGAGGGACAGAGAGAGGGAGACAGAGGATCCAAAGTGGGCTCCATGCTGACAGCAGCAAGCCCAACGCGGGGCTCGAACTCACAAACCGTTGGGAAAACCATTGGGATCATGACCTGAACTGAAGTTGGACACTCAACCAACTGAGCCACCCAGGCGCCCCTATATAAACTCTTTAAACATTACAGATGTGCAGCCATCGGAAGTCACACATGAGAGGGCATTTTTAAAAGACTAAATCTTTATGAAATAATTCCTAACTGATTAACTGCCTCTACTTCCACCCAGCAGGCTCTGCAAAGAGCTGGCTGGCTCTCTTAACCTGTTAAAGAAGATGATGGTGTGCTACTCAGTCGTCTGTCTCTAACCCAGGCCCTCCGACTCAGCTCTGCGCCCCGCTGGTGTCTGAGGCTCTGGGAAGGGCATTTAAGGCCATCACTAGCAGGAAGAGTTACATCCTGTCCCTTGTCTGACGTGGACACTGTTCCTCCTGACCATCCCCCCGCCCATGTAGGCTCCGCGGAGTTACCCGCCCCCTCCCCGGGAAGCAGCAACACGGCTCTCTACCTTGTTGGTCATACAGCAGCACACAGTTTTGCCCTCACTTCTGAGGAAGGGGATAAGATCTTAGAATGTGGCTTCCTTAATGGAATTCACTCTTGTTCAAGGGGTTTGTGGGAAGTCGACCCTTGTGGACATGGGCTTGGGATATCTGGAGTTCCTGGAATTTACTCCTTCTCATGGTTCTATTAGGTTTTTCCTACAGTTAGTTTTTCAAGTTGTAAAAAAAAAAAAAAAAAAAAGATATTCATTGGATGCCAGACTGTTAGCTGAGGATACCTTCCATGGGGACGGGTTATGGTCTCTTGGTCTGGAAGCAGATGGGGGTAGGGATCTACGTTGGATTGATTACCTTCTGACGCCTACACTGGCGTTTCGGGTGTGGGTGGCTATTTTGAGAGCTGTGATTGTCTGGACTTCCCTGACTCAGAGTTGCCAGAACACTGGTGATGATTTAGACCCCTTGTGCTCGGGGCCACCCCCATATAGACTTCTCCCCTGGCACCTGTGATACCTGATTGTATTTTAAAAACCATACCCGCTTTTCCCGAGAAGTGGAGCTGTGTGGTCTTTGGTTCACTACGTGGTATGCCCAGGGATGTGGACGCTCTGGGATTGTAACTCTGCCCCTGCCAGGAGCCATCCTAATATGTCCTGATGCCATTTCTGTAGAAATCGTGGATGGGAACGTGAAAATGACCCTGGGCATGATCTGGACCATCATCCTCCGCTTCGCCATCCAGGACATCTCTGTGGAAGGTGGGTCTTGTGCTCTGTTCCGTTAGTCCCCAACGCCCTCACTCTGCTCCCCTGCCTTCGCCATCACATCTTCCTTCCGGGGCTCAGTCTGGAAAACTCCCTGACCCCTGGCAATGGGGGCTTAACCGTGGGCCACATACTTGGCTGGTCTCTGCCCTCCCTCCTAGTCTGTAGAGAAATAAGAACTGACCAAGTTTCTGGTTTCCACTGGTATGTTGGCCCCCGGGGAATCCCCCTCACTCTAGAACCGCCTGAGGTTGCTGTGAGGAAGTACTGGAAACCCCACCTGGCTTTGGGGTTGTTAAATCCTAAAGGGTAGGGAAATTGCAGCCTGGAGGGAGTTGACCCCAAGTCCTCCACTTTGCTCCCACAGCACCCTCTGGTGGCCACTTCGCAGATCTTTAAGAGGCCACCCTAGTCTGGGGCTGAGAGCTCTCTAAACTTTTGGTTCTACACTCCAGCAGTTTTTGAGCTTTATATCTGCTGTGGGTGTATTTATTTTATAATAAATTATATTTGTGTGTCGATATTCTTATTACGAAATACACATACGAAAACAATTTTTTTTCAAAAGATGACACGGTGATATTTTCAAAATACTTTTTATTCATGGGCGCCTGGCTGGCTCGGTCAGTCGAACATGTGACTCTTATCTTGGGGTCATAAGTTTGAGGCCCACATTTGGTATAGCGATCACTCAAAAAAATAAACTTTAAAATATATAGTCTTAATTCATTTTAATGGCCAGGAATCTCTTTTCTTTTTTCAGTCTTTATTTATTTTTGAGAGAGAGAGAGCACAAGCAAGGGAAGAGCGGAGAGAGAGAGAGAGAGAGAGAGAGAGAATCCCAAGCAGGCTCTGAGGGGCTCGAACTTATGAGATCATGACCTTAGCCAAAACCAAGAGTTGGGTGCTTAACCAACTGAGCCACCCAGGTGCCCCTATGGTCCAGAAATCTTACAAAGATTTTTATTCAAAGTGATTTTTTTTAAAAAATGTGGATTATCTTGCTTTCTTATGGAAACCTTGGTTTGATACATGGTAATACAGCCATGTGAAGGTCTAAGTTTGGTTTATAGATGCTTGGTATTTAGGGCTGAAGTAGTTAAAAATGTGTCCTTAGTTGTTACTTTGAACATGATTCTTGTTAGTGATGATGAATGTAAATCCATTTTCAGATTGCCTTCTTGATAAGTTTGATTCTCTTTTTTTTCCCCCAATGTTTGTTTATTTTTGAGAGAGAGAGAGAGAGACAGAGCATGAGCAGGGGAGGGGCAGAGAGAGAGGAAGACACAGAATCCGAAGCAGGCTCCAGGCTCTGCCCTGTCAGCCCAGAGCCCAATGCAGGGCTTGAACTCACAAACCACGAGATCATAACCAGAGCTGCAGTCAGACTCTTTATTGACTGAGCCATCTAGGCACCTGATAAGTTTAATTCTTTTCGGCTGCCCTTGTCAGCTCTGGTTAAATTGTCATTGTTTTGATCTTATAATATAGCTGATGAAAAGCTGGAGCTGAGTAGAAGCATTAGCTTTGCTGACTCTTTTATTGTTTGCTTGTGCTTGAAATACTATCTTTGCAGGAGTCATTTAATGTCATTTTAAAGTCCATTTTGTGAATTGAAAGTAAATGAGATCATCCATGAACCCTCTCGGCTGGGTACCATATCTGCAATTCACGGATGCAAACACAGGGGGCCAGTGTAGTTTGCATCCCTTCTGTGCTGGGAGCTCCTGGGATCCCCTCAGATACCTCCCTGCTTTATCTTACAGGCACCTGTCTGCTTCACCCATACAGCAATGATGTCAATCCATGCATTAAATATAGGCAACTTTATTTTTTAGATGATCTTAACACTTTTGCCCCATATAGCTCTGTACACTCTGCATGGCCTGTGTACCTCTGTCTAGAGATTCTGGAACTTTAGATTTCACAGACCAATCGAACACCGACCTAATACAGGTTGCTGATTTATTTTGTACTGCTACCGCGCCTTTGAGTAACAGGGAGCAATGGGGGAAATCTGCAGAAAGCTTGAGAGGTCATGGTCTCAGTATTTAAATACGTAATGTGGCCAGCCCTTAAAAGCTTCCTAGCTTGCTTCTTCATTTCTCAAATAGCTTCTCAGCCTTTGTCAAAGAAATAGACTTAATGACCTGGCAGCAACAGGGTTGCAGTCTAAGGGGTCCTTGTCTGGACCCCTTATGTGAACAAGCACATGGACCCTGGGGTCACAGTGAGGCCTCCCTGTGAGCCGACACCACTGCCTCCACCAGGCCAGTGCACTGACCTCTCGGCCCGTCATCCCGTCCCTCACAGAGACTTCCGCGAAGGAGGGGCTGCTCCTGTGGTGTCAGAGAAAGACAGCTCCTTACAAAAACGTCAACATCCAGAACTTCCACATAAGGTGAGTGGCTGGGGGCTGAGGGGTTCTTGCAGAGCCTCAGCTGCTCCCCTGGGACCCTTTGCCCCCCTTTGGCTGGATTAGCCTCCGTTCCTCTGGCTGGTTATCCTCAGCTCCAGAACAGAGCAGGGGACCTTGGGGAGGAAGCTGCTTTCTCAGGGAGTGGCGCAGACTCTTCAGTGCCACCTTCCCTCCCAGCGGTGCCTTTGGTGTGGCTGCTACTATGCACTTTGGGCTGATGCCCCAGCTACTGGGGAGCTCCCCAAGGGCAGTGTCCTGGGGCACTGGAACGGAACAGAAGGGACAGAGACCGTGGCAGAGAGGAGAGTTGGATGTGGCAGGTGTCTGAATGTCCCACAGCCCACAGAACCTTGACCCCAGTGCCTGGGATTGTGGCAGGAAGGAATGTATCTTCCCATCCTGTCTTCTCCTCACTCCAGCTCCAAAGCACTATGTATTCATCTCTGTAAAAAGGAGGGGACCCCCCCTTCCTTGTTTAGAGCCTTACCCTGAGTGCCCGGCCCTACTCACCAGCTTGCCTCCCTCCCTTCTCTCTCCCATGGGCAGCTGGAAGGATGGCCTCGGCTTCTGTGCCTTGATCCACCGACATCGGCCTGAGCTGATTGATTATGGGAAGCTGCGGAAGGTATGTGTGCTTGCCTGGCTTCCCACTGCCGGCTCCCGGTCGCTGGGGTCCCTGCTGGGGGTGGGGGTGGAAGTGCAGGACTGGGCCCCTGTTCTGAGAGCCCATGGCCATGGTAAGGGGTGTCGGTCTCCTTAGACTAGCCCGGGTGATAGCCTACAAGAGAAAGAGGAAACCCCCTTCACTGTGCGGGCTGCTGGAGTACGTCTGCCACAGCATGCGTGTACTTGCTGGCCCAGACAGCCCACAGAATGTCCGGGCCCCTGCGGCCTTTTGTTGGGGTGTTGGAACACTAACTGACATCTTCCCCTTCTATTTTCTGCATTTTATAAAGCAGATATAATACTTATATAATTTAAACTCTTGCATATTTTGAGAGGTATTTACTCCCATCTGTGCCCAAGACTTGCTGTGCACGGTCCCAGCAGGGTCCTGTCACTGCTGAAGTTTGGCCGGGCGATTTTCTCTCTTTTTTTTTTTTTTTATAAACTCTATTTATTTATTTTGAGAGACAGAGAGAGAGCGCGAGCAGGGGAAGGGCAGAGAAAGAGGGGGAGAGAATCCCAAGCAGGCTGTGCATTGTCAGCACAGAGCCCAACGCGGACTCAAACCCATGAATTGCGAGATCATGACCTGAGCCGAAATCAAGAGTCAGATGCTTAACTGACTGAGCCCCCCAGGTCCCCCAGGGCTGGGGGATTTCTTGTAGCTGCTGCCTGATTTCACTTAAGCTCTTGGCATGAAGCTGCTGGTGGGTTTCCTGAGCACATGTACGCATCCAGGAGTTGGGGGCTGTGTTTCTAACTTCGAGGTGGTTCTGGTGTCCGGGCTGCCCTTGACCTTGGAGAGGCCTGTCCAGGACCACTCTGACCTCACTCACCAGCTTCCCTCTCAGCCCATCCCAACACCCGGAGGCCACCCCTGGAGCCCTCCCCACACCCCCAGTTGATGATCTAGACCTTGGGTTGGAATGTCACCTGTCTGTATGTGAGAATCTCTTGACAAGGCAGCTTCTCAGAATGGCTGTTCTGGTATTTCTCTACTTGACCTTGACACTTGGAGAGCACAGTGTTCAGTGAAGACCCCAATCTGGCCTGTGCCCCTGGAAGCAAGGCTGGATGTTGGTGGTACAGGAGCCGCTCGGGAACTCCATATGGTGTGAAACCCTCTGTTTCCGAGGAGTTGGGGAGGAAAGCAGAAGACTCCCATCCCCTCTAGTTACTCTAAGTCAGGCCTAAGCCTGAGGTTGGGGCCTGGGCCCACCTGCTGAAGGAGAGAAGCTTCCCCCCTGCACGTGGCTTTGGACAGGGGTCCAGCTCTTCCTAAGCCACCCTTTTAATGGGTAAGAGGGTCCCCATACTCTAAGTCAGCTGCCTTGCAGGAAGAACATCAGGTTGAGAACCCCCTAGCTTACCTGAAAGCTGTGTGGCCAAATCAAACAGAGGTGAGGTGGGAAACCCTAGAAGCAGTGACTTTTTTTCTTTAAGAGGCATCATCACATACTGGGGCGCCTGAGTGGCTCAGTTGGTTAAGCGTCCAACATCAGCTCAGGTCATGATCTCACAGTTGTGAGTTCGAGCCCTGCATAAGACTGTGCTGACAGCTTGGAGCCTGGATCAGCTTCAAATTCTGTGTCTCCCCCTCTCTCTGCCCCTCCCCTGCTTGTGCTATATCTCCTGTCTCTCAAAAATGAATAAATGTTAAAAAAAAAACTTTTTAAGAAGCATCATCATGTACCTCCTTACTGTTTGCCTGATGCTCTTTGGTGACAAGTGTGCGTGTATCGCTATGCCAGGGTGTGGGGTGACAGCCACTTAATCCAGAGCTGTTTGGCCACCCCGTATAAAGTGGGGCCCTGCTGGCTGTGACTCTATAGTCCCTTCCCCCATTCCAGACTCTCTGAAACCCGACCGGCCACCCACCCCCGTGGGTCTTTTCTTTTCTCTTCTCCTTATTTCCCGGTGCATCCCCTCTCCTTAATTCAGTAGCATCAGTAAAATCCAGCCCAAATCCTAGCACAGACCTGGTCCCACTGAAGTGTGGATACTTTCCAGAAAGCACAGGTTGCCAGAGCCAGCAGGCATTCGGACACAGGGGAGAGCTGTGGGCCTCTTGACTGGGAAGCTCTTCCTCTTGCTGTGGCCTTAGTGGGCATGGGTGCCTGGCAGTCGCTGGGAATCGAGTGGGGCAGGTGCGTGTGCAGGACTTCTTGAGGTCCCGGACGGAAGTGACTTTCACTCCTTGGTAAAGTGTTTTTTAAATCATTCTGGAAGCTGTCAGAAGCTTTCCCAGAAGGACTCCACCTTCTCTATTTTAAGCAGTTTCTTCCTGAAAGTATCCGGAGTAAGCGTATTTATTTCTTTGCAACTTGGTGATTCGCATCTTAGCAAATGGGTTCCTGGGCTGACAAAACCGGGGCGCACCGAGACCTAGAGGGGGGAGCGCCAGCAAGGAACTCTGTCACTAGGTTGTGGTGTTTCCCCACATTAAAAAAAAAAATTCTTTTAATTGCGGTAAAATATACATAACATAAAACATAGCATACGTAAAAACACAAAACACATAATCTGGAAGCTTGAACCGCATAGAGGTGTTCGGGGTGGTGACATTTGGGGTGGTGACGTAGTGCATCCATGTGACCATGCCGCCATCACTGTCCCCCTCCAGGGCTCTCTTCATCTTGCACGACTCCACCTCGGAACCCATTAAACCACCCCCCACCCCCCACCCCCCGCCTCTCTACTTTCTGACTCTGTGAATTTGGCTACTCTAGATGCTTTGTGTCAGTGGAATCGTATGATATTTGTGTCTGGCTTATTTCACTTAGCGCCATGCGTTCAAGGTTCACCCTGCTTGTGGCATGTGTCAGAATTGCCTTCCTTTTTCAGGCGGGGTAAGAGTCTGTCATATGGATCGCACATTTGATTGATCTCTTCATCTGTCAGTGGGCATTTGTGTCATTTCCACCGTTTAGCTCTGGTGTGTCCGGGCGGACGCATATCTGTTTGAGCCCCCACTTTCCATTCTTTGGGAGATGCACCCCGAAGTGGGCCTGCTGGGTTCCCAGGGAACCCCGTGCCTAACTTCCGGAGGACACTCTGTGCTGTGTTCCGCACCGTTATATATTCCCACCAGCAGTTCTGATTCCTCCACATCCTCGCCAGCCCCCGGTCAGTTCCCTGGACACGCGGCAGAAGCCAGAATAGGCAAAAGGTGGTGGCTGTGTGAAGGTGTCCTCAGATTTGGTGGGACGTGAGCGGCAGAGGGGCTTGAGGGCGCCTAGGCCAACTCTTGAATAACGGCTGAGGAAGCTGGTGACTTACCGGTCCCACCGGCTGGTGGCAGAGCTAAAACCAGAAGCCAAGACTGACAGTGCCCAGGCCAGTGCTCTGCTGGCAGCGTGTCGTTCCTAGCAGGTCTTTCTCGGGCTGCAGGCCACTATTCTTCGTTCCATTTCTGACAAACTGAAGCTTGAGGAGGAAAGACGGCCGTTTAAACGCCCACGCAGCAGGCCCTGGAGGTGAAGCGAGTGTTGTACACACAGTGCTGGACCCTGAGGACCACACCTTCAGTCTGTGGTCACCACCATGGGGGTCACCGGTGACTTCTTGGGCCTCTCACATGCCTTCATCCTCCTTTCCCTCTAGGACGACCCACTCACAAATCTGAACACAGCCTTCGATGTGGCAGAGAAGTACCTGGACATCCCCAAGATGTTGGATGCTGAAGGTAAAAGGCGTCTCTGTCTGTGCCTCTGGCTCTTTTCTCACGCGAGAGGGGCGGGGCCCAGCAGCCCTAGGTGGGAAGGGAAGAGGCCTGGTTTCTGGGACCTCATCTGGGGAGCCTGGAGGTCGCCTGCCTGTTGCGGATTCCTTGGTTCCCTGGGGTTTGGATGGGAGGCTAGCTGGTGCTGAGAGGAGGGGCTTTGAGGCGGTTTCTGCATCAGAAGATATCTGCCTGAAGATAGTTTTCGTCTTGGAGTTGAGGTGGCAGGTGTTGGGGGTGGGGGGGCTGGTGGACGCAGTATCGCTGTGCTGTGTAGGGGAGGGAAAAAGCCTTTCCCCTTATCCCCTTAGGCTGTCCAGCTGGGATCCTGTACATTAGACTGGCAAAAGACAGATTAAGAAGAGAAAAGCAAAAAGAATTCTCTTAACAAGGGCTTTGTGCGTCTGCACATGAGAGCTCTCCGTGATGAATACTTTACAGGGGTGGTTAGGAGTTCAGGATCCATATCCATCCCTAACCTGTGGGGGATACGGAGGGGACAACTGGCATCTATGGAAAAGCAAGTGACTTTTTAGAAAGACAAATGGGGTCTTAGGAGAATGGGAGGGAGACAATATCTGGGATCATTTTCAAATATATGCAAAAGCAGGGAGAACAGCGCAGGAACTTCCATTTACCCATCGTACAGATACAACAATTGGATTTTGTCACTTTTTTTCCCTTTTGCTTTCTTCATTGAAATATTATAAAATACACTCCAGACATCACAGCATTTTACCACCACATACCTTAAAAATATTCTTACGCAGCCGTAAGACAACTGTCATACGTTGTCTGTGAATCCTCGGTATATCTGCTGCATAATTCAACATCAAACTTCTCCAGTTGTTTCTTTCTAGAGTTTTTGTTTTTGTTTTTTGAGAGAGAGAGAGAGACAGAGCATGAGCAGGGGAAGGGCAGAGAGAGAGGGAGACACAGAATCCGAAGCAGGCTCCGGGCTCTGAGCTGTCAGCACAGAACCCGATGCGGGACTCGAACTCACAAACTGTGAGATCATGACCTGAGTCAACCTCAGATGCTTAACCAACTGAGCCACCCAGGTACCCCGGGAAAAATGTCTTTAAAAAAACCCTTTTTTAAAATGTTTATTTATTTTTGAGAGAGAGAGCGCGAGTGATGGAGGGGCAAAGAGAGAGAAAGGGAGACACAGAATCCGAAGCAGGCTCCAGGCTCTGAGCTGTCAGCACAGAGCCTGAGGCTGGGCTCAAACTCATGAACCGTGAGATCATGTTCTGAGCCAAAGTCGGACGCTTAACTGACTGAGCCACCTGAGTGCCCCTAGAGTGGGTGTGTCTTAACCAGGGTCCAGATAAGGTCTGCATGTGGCGTGTAGTTCTGGTTCTCATGTCTTTTCCAGTCTGTAGCACTGCCCTCCTTCCTTCGTCCTTTTTATATGCCTGCCATGGGACTTGTTGCACAAACGGGCCAGCTGCTCACGGAATGTTCCTTCTTCTGGGTTTGTTGTTTGCCTGCTCGGAGCACTGTTTCTCTCCTCCCTTTACCTCTCTCCTATTCCTGTAAGTGGAAGCTAAGGCCAGAAGCTGGGGAGATTCAGGCTCAGCATGTGGGCAAGACGACTTGGAGGTTCGGTTTGGAGCTTCTTTCCACAGCCCATCAGGAAGTGCATCATGTGTTCGCCAGCTGGCTTTTAACTCCAGATTTTTCTTGATAGACATTGTTGGAACCGCCCGACCGGATGAGAAAGCCATCATGACTTACGTGTCCAGCTTCTACCATGCCTTCTCTGGAGCCCAGAAGGTACCCGGGCCCCCACCCCACTCCTTCCTTGCACAGCACACCGCGTGCTGCGCCCCAGACCATGCGCCCCCTGCCCCACCCGCCTCTCCCTGGCAACAGGGTCTGGATGGCGTGTGTCTCTGGTAGAGTTAGCTCCCGGTGCCAACGTGGCGTGCTGCTCTCGCTCGGCTCCTCTCCCATCCTCCCCTCTGCTCCTTTTCTCCTCTTCCTCTGCAGCCTCTGAGAGGACTGGGCTTCAGCTCACCTTCTGGGGCCCAGAGACTTGGCTTGAGCAGGAAGAGCTGCATGTGTGAAATCAGCCTGGGGGTTCTGGAAGGTGCAGTAGGCAGCAGCCCCTCTGTGCCCACCTTTGCTGAAGCTTTAACACAGCAGCCCGGCTTCCCCTATGGAGGCATCTCCTGTCTCAACTGACCTATTTTGCAGAGGTGTCACGAAGCCCCCACCTTTCTCCCACTCATGGGCATGATTATGCAAATCTGTCCACAGCTTTTTTGGGCCCTGGTACCTTCTGGATCCTGCCTGGGACCCACATGTGGGGTCACTCTGCACTCTGTATTTGCAGGCATAAGCACAGCCCCTTGGAGAGGGGGAAGGGAAGAAGTGGGCAGCTGTGAGCCCCTTCAAATGTCCTGGCTCAGTTTTGTTCCGGGAGGCCTGAGTTTAAAGTCCAGTTGTGCAGGCTGCACACTAAAGAGCAGTGAATATTTTTGTTATCAGGCTTAGCTCAGTCAGGAGAAGTGTCTCTCCCAGACCCCACTCACAGGCAGGACCCTGGAAACACAACATGCAGGTTGACATGAGCACAGGCTGGGCCTTCATGGTTTCAGGCCATGGACCTGTCACATCAGGTTGGATGTGCTCAGGCAAATTTCCCACCCTCCGCATGGAGTCTGAGTGACCTGTCTCCAGATGCATGATGGGGGCGCTTCCCCCCACCCCACCTCTTGCCTGGCCTTCCCCTCTGCTCTCTCTCTCCCCCCTTTTCCTGTCTCAGCCTGTGCTCTCCACCTCCCCATCCTTCTCTCCTCTCATCATCTCATTTCGTCTCTGCCCATTCCCTCATTTGCTGTCTGTGCATCTGTCCTGTGCTCTCCCTGTCCGCCACAGCTGTTTGGGTTTATTCTGTGCTGCTGCTGCTCCTTTTCTCCTCTCAACCTCTTCTCCTTCTCTGTGCAGATGTGTAGGCACGCTAAGGCCGGATGGGAAGGCCATGTGACCTAATGTTTCATGTCACTGCCACGCCTTCTTGGGTGCGCAGAAGGTGAGCTCTCCCTCGGCCTCGCCCGCTCTCCCTGCCACCCTCCGCCCGCCTCTTCCTTCCTCCCGGGATGCTTTGGCAGCCATCCGTGGGGCTGTGGCCGCTGCAGGGACAGAAGGGACCAGAGCAGCCCCTCTTCCTCTTGCAGGAGGGCAGGGTGCTCTCTGAAGCCTGGCCAGAGCCCCAGCCTCTGGCTGGCCCCCTGTGTCTCTGACCACACACACTGACTGAGCTTCGTGGAGGTCACAGATGGGAAAGAAGCTCATGGTCTCAGCTCCTTCCCTGGACCCTGAGTCAAGAGCCCTCTTCCCAAGTGATACGGCTCTGGGCTATGCTTCCTGACTATTCCCTTAAACATTCAGGACCCCGTCATTTTCTCTCCTTCCTGCTGAGTCAAGACCATCCTTTCAAATTATCCAGCAGACACGGCCGGGGAGAAGTCTTCCTGCCTTCTCCCTGGTGTCTAGGCCAGAAGCTCAGAGCCCTTCCCAACCAGGCCCACCACGGACATGGTGCAGGTTGCACACTCCACAAGGCTGCTGTGTGTGTGCACTGCAGACCATGGAGATTTGAATATGTGTTACAGAAGTAATCCAGTAGGGGGCAGCAAAAATACTCTCTAAACATGTCAGTATGACAGTTTTCCGATAGGAATGCCTCGGGAAGAGGTGCCTTTAAAAAATTATACAGAGGCACGTGGGCTTGTAGCAGCCCCATCCCCTGGCTGGGCGGGCACCGGAACCCTCCTCCCCTTCCTTCCAGGCCTCACTGGCACTGAGACAGGAGAGCTGTCCCACGTGGAGGCTTCCTCACAGGTGTCCCGGCCCCCCGGTGTCCCCAGCCCCTTCAGCCTCTTCTCTGGCCTGCCTCTTGCTTCCTCCTGTTTCTCTCTGTGCCATCTCTGCTGCTGCTCTCTTGTCAACTTCTTCTGGCCCCTCTGACCCCGCCACCTGTCAGCCAGGGTGTGAGCAGCATCTGACCTCCAGCCCTGATGACCACGGAGGGCCTGCTTGCCCGCCTCCGTAGCTAGACCGCCCTCTGCTGTGGGGTTTTCCCTGTCCCCTGCCCCTCCAAGGGTTCTCTCCTGGGCTTCATGCCCGCTGACACTGGCCTTCCCTGTGTCCTGGCTGACCGTAATGCTCGGACAAGAGTGTGCGCGTGCGTGTGCGTATGCGCGTGTGCATTAGCAGCCTGCTTTTGTCCCTCCCAGATCTCATGCCACCTTCCCTCCCCCTCATCCTTGCTGCAACCATTTCACGCTTCTTTTGTCCACATTCAAGGACAAGGTCACCGGTGGGGGGGTGGGGGAGTGGCGTACCTCTCATGTCCTGGGTCAGGGGCCTCTAACCACTTCTAAGGACCCAGGCAACTGCTTCGAGCCAAGCAGACCAGGAGGAGAGGGAGCTTCCCCCGCTCCTGTGGAAGAAGGAGGATTCATTCTGACTCACACACACTCTTCTTATCTTGACTGTCTCCATGTCTGGTGCCGGCGTTGGGGGGGTTGGGGACACATATTCTGAAACCCACGCCCAGTGGGCCCCGTGCCCTTTATCGTCTCCGCTGCCTTTCTCTTGTCAAGCCTTGGGCGGTGGAACTAGAAAGGCAGCACAGCGGCATACGTGCATACACGCGTGCACGCGTGCGCAGCCACCCGCGTCCCTGTACCGGTATATGGCACACAAGGGCACGTCATGGGTTTTCCTCGTCAGGTGAGGACCAACTTCTGTCTGATGTGTTGCTTTGGGTTCTGACTCTTTCTCAGTTTTCCTTTGCCCTCCTCTTCTCCCGTGTCGATTTAGAATCAACAGAAAGCAACAGATTTTGTTTTATGTAGTTTGTGCTTTAAGGTGCATGGTCTCTGGGGAATGTTCCAGAGAAACGGCCATTCAAGACCAGGCTAGATCCGCTGCAGGTATTTCTGGTTGCTTTCAAGAGTAGATGGGGATGTTTGCGTCTCTCCATTTGGCCTCTCGCTTGCTTTTGTCACATTGTGAATCTCCTGAGGGAAAGAACCAGCCATTGCTGCCCTTGAGGGGTTGGGGTCCATCCAGGGAAACCCTGAAACACAGAGGCCAACGATGGCTGTGGTCTCATCAGTGCCTGCTGTGCCGCGGGCCGAGTAGGGGAGGGGCGGGGCGAGGGCCACGGGGCCGCACCACACAGGCTTTCTTCACAGGAGCCACCGGATCTTGCGGGTCTTAAGGGTTGAGTAGGGTTCCTCAAGTGAAGGTGTGGCAAGGGTCAGGAAGGTGGTCACAGCTTGTGTGACAGCTTCGAGGTGTCACAGGTCAGCCTGCGAGGGGACAGCAAGTTAGCCCTGGTCCTCTGCCTGGGGTGAGGAGCACAGCTGGGAGCATGCCGCGCCCCTTTGTCTGTGGGCCTCGCTGGCAGGGGTGCTGGGGCTGGGTGCGTTCTTAGACACCGGGAGAGGCTAGGCTGGGGGAGGAAGGAAATGGGCAATTTCAGATAGATTTGGGAAGTTTTTTACTAAAAAGGTCACAGGTGACATTTTTGTGGCATCCATGTGAATCTGTGGGTTGTGGGTGGCAGAGCCACTGTGCATCATTTGGGCCACATTTGGATGTTAGATGTCACCTTAATTAACTACCTTGTACCAGCGAGTTGGATGCCGTGTGTTAGCACAGCGTCATGGCTTGGGATAGCGGAGTTTCAGTTGGGACCGCTAAGTTATTAGTACTCCCGAAATAATAGTCCACAACTTTAAAAAAAAAATTACTAATATGAAGCCAAACAGATTGTTCTGTTTTAAGCTGTATAATAATATAACTCAAAGTAAGCCCTGAAAATATAAACTAAAGGAAGGTAAACCCAGATTTCTAGAAGCCTTTTTTTTGTCTTTTGGCATTTATTTATTTTTTTAAAGTGTTTTTTATTTATTTCTGAGAGAGAGAGGGAGACACAGCGTGAGCAGGAGAGGGTCAGAGAGAGAGGGAGATACAGAATCTGAAGTAGGCTCCAGGCTCTGAGCTAGCTGTCAGTACAAAACCCTTTTGCCTAGTGTTAGAAAATATTTTCTCAGCCCATTAATGATACCTTACACTTACATCCCTTGTGCAAATTCTGCCAACATCAGAAAGGTCTGGGCAGTCTGGCTTTGCTTCCTGGGTTCGGGAACAGCCCATCTTCTCTTGCGGGAACAGGCTGTTTCTCTCAGAAAAAGAATCATTCCTCCCCTAGAACCGATCTCCCCTTTGGGCAGTCTCTTTATGACTTGGCGGTGCGAAGTACCTCTCTCCTAAATCCCCCTTAGTGACGGAGTTCTTGTGGCCACGGCAGAAACAGTTTCTAGAATACCACAAAGTGAGGTGCTTGGGTAAGCCTGGATCCCAGGCTCAAGAGTCTCGCTGGCCTTCCACCCCAGGGACTATTTCACGTTAGTCTTTCCTTCATGGTCTCTGTGACCTCCTGGGTTGGGGTTGGTGGATGACTGAAGCCTTCTTTGTAAAGAGACCTTCTGCAGGGCGGGCTGCCAGCCTGGGGTGGCAAATTAAGCAGTGAGCAAAGCAGATAGGTCAAGGTCTTGAGGTTTCTACCTGTCTTTCCCTCCCCACTAAAATTAAGCCTGGATTCCGGGAGCCTGCTTCCTTCCTAAAGGTAACCGTGTAAGTGGGACTATCCCCCGAGGGCAGAGGCAATCCCGATGGCGTTTGCAGACAGGCCATTACCTTTTCTGAAGGAAGCCCTCTCGTTCCATGATGCCCATGCTTTCTTCCCAAAGGCAGGTTTCCTGGTTATGATGAGTGGTTTTCTCAGTTCCTCCTGGGGAAGCCGCCTAGGCGTGGGGCAGGCTGAGCTGCAAGCTTGGGAAAGAGGTGGGTCTCTGGGAAAAGTCCCCAGCTAGCCCACTTGGGAACATCCCCCAGACAGCATCCAAGAGGAGCCTCTGTTGATCCTAGAACAGCCAGCAGGCTCTGAGGATGGGCGAGGCCCCTGAGGCTCATGGGATTATCTCCTAAAATCCCATGAACACAGGCCTCGCTCCGTCCACCAGTTTGACCAACTGACACACACGTCAAAGCTTATGAGCGCTGAGCCTAGGATTTCAAGATGAATTGGGGGGAATCAGGGCCCAGGAAGGCTTTGCCCATGAAACATCACAGTGGCAGCTGCTTCTTGCATGTGATGCGTGACCACGTCTGATTCTTGCCCACTTGGTCAGTGCGCTGGACATAGCTTACTTGTATCCGTGCAGAGACCGGTGGCCCCCCAGTGTCTCCCTCCCCGGCCTTCACCGGAAGTGGCCCTGGTCACTGCCTCCCCCAGCCCTTTTCATGGGCACATTGGCGTGTTTCCCATGACCTTGCTCTGTCCAAGGGCCCCACATCTTCTGGCACAGTCTCCAGGAAGGAGTTTCCCTCTTGTCACCTTTTAGTATTCCCAGTGGTTGCTTTTTGGTTCTTAAGACGAAGGACAGGCAATCAGGAGTCCCATGGGAGAAGTGGTCATGGCATCCCCGGGGCCAGAGGTAGGCTAGAGGGCGTGGCGGTGAGGCGCTAAGGATGTGACTCCTTGCCTCAGTTTCTTGAGACCCAAGACTCAAAGTGCCCGTCCTGGAGGCCCTCTGGCCATTCCCCCAGTTGACCCAGTGGAGACCTACCTGCTCTAACCCCTTGCCCTGGGGTGGGGGGTGTGATCTCCTGACCTTGAGCTTAAAAAGACCTTCATGCTGACCTCCTTCTGCATCACCACCTCCCCCGCCCCCTCGCCCCCATCCCAGCAGCCACTCCCAATCATGCGATTTGGTGGGTGGGTGTCCTATTTGAAAAGTTCTGCAAAGAAAAAACATCTATATGTTAGTTACTTCTTTTCAGTTCAAAGCACCCTCATTCTCAGGATATTCTTCTTTATGCCTAGCCTCAGTTTATCTTGCTGCAGTCAAAACCCATTTTGCTTTGCTCATCAACCAGTTGTGAGGTCCCATCTTTCTATTCCTTAGACCCTTGTCGTCTGTAGGCTCACCCTTCTCGAATAGACATTATCGGCTCCTGTTCCCAGGCTGTCTCTCTCACAGGACCCCAAAAAGGCTTTGAGTTCCCCTCTCCTCAGAGTTGGGTTATGATGTATGCAAGAAAACAGATGGATTTAAAGGTTACCTGAGTTTCTGGTGACTTAGGACCGCCTGGCCCTTGCTGGTGTTAGGTCCGCGGTGCCTTCCATGGTCCAGGAAGGCTGTGTCCCTTGGAGTTTCCGGGCCTTTGCATCTGATTTCCATTCAGCCCTCTTTCGTTCGTCTTGCTGCCAAGCCCCGTGTCGGGTGCCCGCTTGCCCAGCACTCCCTCGACACAAGGCCTCTGCTTTCCTAGCCGTGCCTGTGCCCAGCTTTCCGGCCATTCTGTGCACGCTGGGGTGGTCCCTTCATGCAGTAGGGGTCCCTGAGTCTTTTCTAATGTTCTTTGTTCTGTAGGCCTTATTGCTTCTCAGTCAGCACTTTATTCCAGACTCCCAGGTTTGAATTCCTGCATCTCCTAAGATCCTGGCAATTTGAACCGGAAAGCCTGAGCCTCGGGGATCCCAGGGCCTGCACTGGGGATTGTAGGCTCGGCATGAATTCTCCCCCCTCTTTACCTGAGCTGACCGTTTTGATCGTATGAGTCATCACATTAGTTACTTCCCAGTGTGCATGGTTGGCTTCAAACTCTGGTCCTTCTCCAAGGGCCCGGGGTTAGCCCTCAAGATCTCTCTTTGGGCTCGCTTGACCTGCGGGACCCAGCACGGGCTGGCGGAGGAGGAGGATGTGGACTCGAAGCCCCAGGGGCTGCCTTCCTGCCATGTAGAGCTGCAGGGCGGGAGCTCCGCTGCCCGGGGCTGACCGTGACCCCCACCCTCTTTCCTGTTGCCAGGCGGAGACAGCAGCCAATCGCATCTGCAAGGTGTTGGCCGTCAACCAGGAGAATGAGCAGCTCATGGAAGACTACGAGAAGCTGGCCAGCGATGTGGGTACCTCTCGAGCTCTCCCAGCCTGGCTCCAGCAAGGCTCTGCTACCCCACTCTGGGAGAAGAGGGAGCCCCCAGAACCTATACCTCCAAACCCATCCCTGGGGCACAGTCCGAGTCTGGGCATAGTCCTTGCTCCCAGCACAGCTGACCCAGGGCAGAGGTGGGCTGATCTCTAGGCTCCAGAAAGCCGGGTCGTAGGCTGTTTTTCTCACTGACAGACAGTGAGCCTGGGAAATTTTCACGTCTCTGGGTTGTGGGTTTTTCCACTTGTCAAGTGAGTGCTAAGCCAGGGGATCTCAGGGGGCTTTCTAGCCTGGTATACTGTTGTTCTGTGAGTTGCTTGGCCTAGAAAAACAGTATGCCTGGTTCTGGAAGGATATGAACTAGAGGTGGGTCAGTGCTGGCTCAGGCTAGCCGAGCAGCTGGGCCCACCCAGGGGACAGGAGGAGACAGGGCTGGGTTTGCTGTTGTGCCGTTGACTGTATTCGGGTTAAGGCTCCACTTGCTTCTCCCTTAAACGAATCCAGCCTTCTGAACAGCTCGGCCTGGCCTCTTGGTGGATCTGCCATCCGGCATAGTAAGAATGCAGATGCCCGGGCCTAGGCCCTGCTCTGCCATGCCAGCTTGGTCACCTTGGCAAGCCCCATAACCTCACGGTGCCTTGGTTTACCCCTCCGTAACCTGGGGCAGGGCCACAGCACACAGCCCCCACGGGACTCCAGTCCTCATTCCGATGAGTCAGTCTGGGGACACGCTGGCACCTTGCAGGTGCTCGTTCTATTTCCTGTCACCCGTTCCACTCCTTCTCCACTTTTCCCTCCGTCACCACCTCATCCAGGCCGTTCCCTGCCTGTGCTCCAGAAGCCAGCCTCTTCCTTTTTGAGTCAGAGACGCACATTCTAGAATTCTAGACAAGGGCCTCTGGAAACAGCTCTTACGGCTGTTACTTCCCGGGGACAGAGGAGGACACCGGGGCCCAGCCAGCTGGTGGAGCTGGACCCAGAGCGTGGGTTTCCTCCTGGGCAAGGCGACTTACCACCACGTCCACGGCTCTTCTCCCGCAGAGCAGGGCGGCTGAGTCAGCCCCTTCCCCTGGCAGAGAGGAGGCTGCATGAAGCCTGTGACTCTCAGAGGGGACCCGCTGGAGCCTGGCTCTACCGCCAGGGAGTGGTAGCTGGGATGGGACGCGCTATCCGGAGAGCCATCCCTCCCGCTGGCTCCCCCTGTGAGGGAAGGGGCCAGAAGGCCAGAGGAGGAAGGGAAGCAGCCCTCAGCGCCCCCTCCCGCCTCCTCACGCCTTCGGCGTCCCCACCCCCAGCTGCTGGAGTGGATCCGCCGCACCATCCCGTGGCTGGAGAACCGGGCGCCGGAGAACACCATGCACGCCATGCAGCAGAAGCTGGAGGACTTCCGGGATTACCGGCGGCTGCACAAGCCGCCCAAGGTGCAGGAGAAGTGCCAGCTGGAGATCAACTTCAACACGCTGCAGACCAAGCTGCGGCTCAGCAACCGGCCCGCCTTCATGCCCTCCGAGGGCCGGATGGTCTCGGTGAGTGGCCCTGGGCCCCGGCCCGGCCGCCTCCGGCCCTGAGCCGCTCCAGACTGCCACCCAGGCTCAAGCCCCCACTCTCCTGACCCGCCCAGGTCAGACCTGCGCTGCTGGCCCCCTAAATATCCACCAGGCCTCCCAGCACCAGCTCCCCCCACCTCAGGACACCGTCTCTGCCAACAAAGTGCCTCGTGATGTATTGAACCAAACGGGGCATGACTCAGTAGCGACTGGGATCATTTTTACTTTTTAAAAATTTTTATTTATTTATTTATTTTGAGAGAGAGAGAAAGGGAGACCATGTGAGCGTGAGTGCGAGAGGGGCAGAGAGAGAGAGGAGCGAAAGAATCATAGGCAGGCTCTACTCAGTGCAGAGCCGACGCAGGGCTCGAGCCCAAAACCGTGGGAGATCGTGACCTGAGCCAAAACCAAGAGTCAGATGTGCAACCCACTGAGCCACCCAGGTGCCCCTCTGTGAAATCTTTTTTAAGTGATTTTTATAAAATGTATTGCCTTCAACAAGTAATGAGTTGCGTTTTGCGGGGTTTTTTTGGTAGGATATTTCAAACATACAAATACGCAAAATATAGAAAATAGAAGTTACTCATAATCTTAACTATCCAGTATAACTTAAAACTGTTTTTTGAGGGGTGCCTGGGTGGCTCAGTCAGTTGAGCATCCAACTTCGGCTCAGGTCATGATCTCACGGTTCATGGGTTTGAGCCCTTTGTCTGGCTCTGTGCTGACAGCTCAGAGCCTGGAGCCTGCTTCGGATTCTGTGTCTCCCTCTCTCTCTGACCTTCCCCTGCTCACGCTGTCTCTCTCTCTCTCTCTCTCAAAAATAAATAAAAGTGGCTGTTTGGAAAAAGATTCTTTTAGTTTATAAGTGGGATTTTTTAAAAAATGTCTTACGTATTTATTTTGAGAGAGAAAGAGAAGGAGCGGAGGGAGAGGCGGAGAAAGAGAGGAGAGAGAATCCCAAGCAGGCCCTGAGTCATCAGCACGGAGCCCGACGCAGGGCTCAATCCCACAAACTCCGTGAGATCATGACCTGAGCTGAAGTCAGAAGTTGGACACTGGGGCGCCTGGGTGGCTCAGTCAGTTAGTTAAATGTCCAACTCTTGATTTCGGCTCAGGTCATGATCTCATGGCTCATGAGTTTGAGCCCTGCATCTTGTTCCGTGCTGACAGTGTGGAGCCTGTTTGGGATTCTCTTTCTCTCCCTCTCTCTGTCCCTCTTCCACTCTCTCTCTTTCTCACAAAATAAAATAAACTTGAAGAAGAAAAAGGAGTTGGGCACTTACATGACTGAGCACCCAGGCGTCCTATGTAAATATGATTTTTTTTTTAATTTTTTTAAAATTTTGTATTTATTTATGAGGGAGAGAGAGATACAGCGTGACCAGGGGAGGGTCAGAGAAAGAGGGAGACACAGAATCTGAAACGGGCTCCAGGCTCTGAGCTGTCAGCACAGAGCCCAACATGGGGCTCGAACCCACAAACCGCAAGATCATGACCTGAGCCGAAGTCAGACGCGTAACTGACTGAGCCACCCAGGCACCCTTAAATATGATTTTTAAGAGAATCCTAAAGCATATTTTATTTAATAAGCTGCTTTAAAAAAAAAAAAAGCTAAAGGGCACCTGGGTGCCTCAGTAGCTTAAGCACCTGAACTTTAGCTCAGGTCATGATCTCACTGTTCATGAGTTTGAGCCCCACCTCAGGCTTTATGCTGACAGCTCAGAGCCTGGATCCTGCTTCGGCCTCTTTTGTGTGTCTCTCTCTGCCCCTCCCCACTCGCATTCTCTCTCTCTCTCTCTCTCTCTCTCTCTCACAAAAATAAATAAAACATTAAGAAATATTTAAAAAAACAACTAAAGTTATATTGTGAATAGCTTACCAGGTTATTAAATTATCTTCATTTGTGTTATTTATGTTATTTCCCCTTCCTTCCTGCCCTTTCTCAGACTCGGGGAGAAATGTTATGAGCCAGAGAAACATACAAAAGAAAATTTAAAAATCCACCAAGATAGAGCTTTTGGCCTTCAAAATGAGAAATCATGAAGGGGCCTGGGCATAAGAGGCGGGAAGAGCAGGGAACGGCCAGGCCAGCAGACAGCACTGGAAAGCTGGCTGGACCCCGAGGAATCTGGAAGACAGGAAGTAGGCCCTTGAGGACAGGAAGTAGGCCCTTGAGGACAGGAAGTAGGCCCTTGCCATTGTGTATGCACTTTGGAAAACTGCAGTCTTTTTAGATTCCAGGCTGCTACCGCAGCTTTTAGGTGGCTAGAGCCTCGGCTGACCAGAGGGTGCGCTGCGTGAGTTAGAAGCACCCCACCCTGGGTGGATGTGGCCTATCCCCTGGGCCCCCAGGTGGCGTGCGGGCTGCGTTCAGCCCATATCTGCACAGCGGGTCCCCTTGTGCTAATTGTAGGGATGACCCTGTGGGTGGCTCCCAGTCTGAAGGGCTGTGGGTTGTGCTCAGCAGCTGTTACCGTCCTTAGGTGCTTGGCCAGCTCGCCCAGACCAGGGTCCCTGCAGGCCCCAGGCAACTGCCCAGAGCCCATGACCACATCCAGGGAGGCTGGGAGGCTCCCATGCCTGCTTGCTTCGTTCAGTTATTGTTCTTTTCCCCTGGCTGGCCCTACAGCCTCTGTGATTAGTCAGAATCCTGGGCCCCAGAGGGCCTTGGGCTCTTCCTCCATAGGGCTGCACACCCACAGCCCTATAGCTGGGTGGCCCACATGGACTCAGGCCTCACTCCCTGCCCAGGAGGCCTGGGACCCAGCAGCCCAGGTAACACCAGTAGACGGCTGGGGAGGTACAACTGAGATGGGAAGGGGGCTTCTAGAAGGCGTGGGGCAGCTGTGTGGGTCTCGGGGGCCAGCTGGGGCTAATGCCATGCCTCTCACCCCTACAGGACATCAACAATGCCTGGGGCTGCCTAGAGCAGGCAGAGAAGGGCTACGAGGAGTGGCTGTTGAATGAGATCCGGAGGCTGGAGCGGCTCGACCACCTGGCAGAGAAATTCCGGCAAAAGGCCTCCATCCACGAGGCCTGGACAGATGGTAAGGCCAGCCCAACCTCCTGCCTCCCTGAGGGTTCTGACCCTCATGCTCTGCTAACTAAACTGCCAGGCCACGACTCCTTTCTCTCCTGCTTTTTGTTTGTTTTGCTTTGTGTCTTACTGGTTCCTTGACATTAGACAAGTTCGTCAGCTTTTTGGTTGCCTCAGTTTCCTCATCTGTAAAGTGGGGATAATCAGAGTATAAACTTCATAGGTTTATGAGAATTTAATGGAATATTACATCCAAGGCATTGAGAAGAGTTCCCAGCATAGCACGATGCTGTGTATGTGTAGTTTGTTGATGGTGCTTGTCATCATGATGATTTCTTCTTCCCTAAGTCAGTTAGGTTGGGGTTCGAATCCCCACTCTACCACCCAGACACAGAGTACATTTGGACCAGTGACTTCTGTGACATGCAGATGATCCATGCGTGCTCTCCTGTGTTAGGTTCCTAGGGCCACACACCGGCTGGCTTAACACAACAGAAACGTGTTTTCTTACCGGTCACAAGGGGTGCTAAGTGGAAGTGTCAGCAGAATTGACGCCTTCTGGGGCCTCTGAGCAGGAGGCCGTCCATGCTGCTTCCTGGCGTCTGGTGGTTGCTGGCCATCCTTGGTGTCATTGGCCTAGTTCAGTGCCTGCCTCTGTCCCCACATGGCTGCTTCTGTGTCTCAGTGACGGAATTTCTCCTCTTGTGCTAATAAAGACACCAGTCATTGGATCTAGGGCCCTCCCTAATCTCGTATGACCTCATCTGAACTAATTACATCTACAAAAACGCTATTTTCTTCTCTTTTCTCTCTCTTTCTTTTTTTTTTTAGTATTTGTTTATTTTGGCGGGGGCATAGGAAGGAACAGAGAGAGGAAGAGGGAGAATTCCATGCAGGCTCCGCACTGTTAGCACAGAGCCAAATGTGGGGCTCAAACTCACAAACCCTGAGGTCATGACCTGAGCTGAAATCAAGAGTCAGACGCTTAACCAACTGAGCCACCCAGGCGCCCTGAGAGTCTATTTTCAAATAAGGTCAGATTCTGAGGCTCTGGGTTGACATGAGTTTTGGGGGACACTCTTCAACTCAGCATACCTCCTCGTAGGATCGTTGAAGGCATAAATATCACAAGTACGTTTTATGCTTTAGTGCCTGGCACGTAGAACGTGCTCAGTAAATGGTAGCCTTGGATATTTTTCCTCCACTGCCTTCTGGCTTCCAATTATAGTGACCTAGAGCCTTTGCCCTGTTAGCACAAGTGTGTCTCCATCCCTCCAACTCAGAGGCACTTACGGCCCAAGTATCTGGTGTCTGCTTGTGGGCAGCTGAAGTTGACTCCAAAGAAAGAGAATCATACCTGGAATAGTCTTTTCCTCTGGGCCAGGGCCAGAGAGGAATCCACAGTGCCCATCTCCTCGGGTCCTCCAGCCACTCCCGCTGGAGCCCCTGTGGCAGACCCTATTGGCCAGCAGAGCACAATGTCCCCTGACTCCCTCATCTGGCCCCATTATGCTCCTCCCTACTTAGGCTGGAGACGATTAGGGACAGCCGTACGCTGTGGCCACTCAGGAGCCACTCGGCTGGGTAGCAGATGGGAGTGTGCTTGACTCAGCCTGAGGAGGTTGGGTTTAGCTCCCTGTTGTAAGAACACTGGAATGTGAGGTTGCTGCCCCACCTCCGCTGCACATGCACCAAGTTCTTTATGCAGGTGTGGGTGGTGCAGAGTAGTGGGGACTGTACCGGTTCAGCCACGTGCTTCTACTGTGTCCTCTCCAGGGCCAAGGAACCGCTCACAGAAAGGTACAGAGCAGGGACCCCATCAGCTGGCCAGCCACTAGCAAGGACATGACAAGTGCTGGCTTGCTGGCAGTAGACATGGGCGGAGCCTCTGGGCAAAGCGGTCTGGTGACACACATCCACACCTAACAGTGTTCTCACCTGCTGACCTAGTTTTTGAGACTCTAAAGAATGAACCCTAAAGGTGGGGAAGTCATGTGTCTACAGTCGGTTCCCATGAGATCCTTTATAATAGCGCAAGCTGAGGGGCCTGAATGCTGCATGTTGGGGCGGTATTGGTCACAGCAGTGGTGGTTTGGCCACATGATGGAACGCTGGCCACCAGAGAGGACACATGGGAAAGCTGGAGTCGAAGCGGAGACTCTGACGGTGTGCTGCTGAATGTTTGAAAAGCAGGAAGTGTAATTTACATATACTCTCTGGTTTTACCACAGTATCCATATAAGGAAAGACTGAAAAGGAGTAGCTAAATAGGCTCATCTGTAATTTTTTCCCCCTAAATTTGTCATGTTATTATTTTGACTTAAAGAAAAAGAAAGTAGAGGGGTGCCTGGCTGGCTCAGTGGGAGGAGCCTGCGACTCTTGATCTCAGGGTCATGAGTTCGAGCCCCACAGTGGGGTGTAGAGATTACTTAAAAATGAAATCTTTTTAAAAAAAAGTAAAAAAGAAAGGAAAGTAGACAGAAGGAAAGAAGGGCCACATCAGGCACAGTCTCCAGCTTCATGGCCCAGCTTTCATTTGCTGAGCAGGGCTGAGTATCCCTGATGGATGCAGACGTGGAGGGTGGGTGTACAGGAAGGCCAGGGCAGCCCCAGGCTGGTACCAGGTGCTTCACGAGACCGCTGGCGGACATGTAGCGACAGCCCCAAGAGATTCATTTCTCATCCCATTTCCTCCTGGGAAACAGGGATCCAAGAATTGCAAGCCCTGCCCCACTCCTCAAGAGAGGGAGGTGCCCCTGACAGAGAAAGTTCTGGCCAGCGATGGATTATGTGCAGAGGGCACTGGACCTGCTGACAAACTGAGACTAATTAAGGGGAGGGGGTCCCTGCAAGGCTGCTGGGGGCCAGCAACAACAGCTGGAGAAACTCTTAATTTTTTTTTTTTATTTCTGAGACAGAGAGAGACAGAGAACGAGTGGGGGAGGGGCAGAGAGAGAGGGAGACACAGACTCTGAAGCAGGCTCCAGGCTCTGAGCTAGCTGTCAGCACTGAACCTGACCTGGGGCTCGAACCCACACACCGTGTGTCCATGACCTGAGCCGAAGTCGGTCGCTTAACCGACTGAGCCACCCAGGCGTCCCAGCTGGAGAAAGTCTAAAGATGAGGTATCCCTGAGGTGCCTGGTTATAGCAGGCATAGCCCGGCACAGCCTTTGTATGTAACATGTATCGTGTTCCATGGAAGGTAGTAACTCTCTCACCTGGCCCCTTGGGGATGTTCAGTTGCACATCTGCTTTCTCAAACTGCACATGATTGATAGCTTTCTGGTGGACATCTTCTGGGGATGTGCTCCTGGAAATGGGGCTCCTGGGCCCCGAGGGGTGGATGGTTGGGGCCAAGAAGATGGGGCCCCCAGCTCCTGGCTCCTGCTCAGCCTTGTGTCCCCTCTCTTTGAACCCAGGCAAAGAGGCTATGCTACGGCAGAAGGATTACGAGACCGCCACCCTCTCGGAGATCAAGGCCCTGCTCAAGAAGCACGAGGCCTTTGAGAGTGACCTCGCCGCCCACCAGGACCGCGTGGAGCAGATTGCTGCCATTGCGCAGGAGCTCAAGTATGCGAGGCTCAGCGAGGTCTGGGGCTTCAGGGGGAATGGGGTGTGGCTGTGACAAGTGAGGAGGGTGGGTACAGCTGGTGCCCCACTGAGAAGGGCATCAATACAGAAGACTTTGGGCATCGCCCAAGTGGAGAATGAGTCCATGGCCCTTCCTACGGTGCCTCTGGTCCTTACCTATGACTAGTGCACGGCCAGAGGATGACCACGTGCACCCTGAGCTCTCGTTGGGCCTCAGTGGATCCCTGCCATTGGGCATTGGGGTCAAGACTGGCATCACCTCCAGCTCAGGTGCAGTAGGGCCCTTAGAACTGGCCTTCATTTGTCTCCCAACGGTCCTCTGAAAGCCACAGAGTTGGGAATGGGGGGGGGGGGTGCACGTGGAAGGTCTTGATGAAGGGAGCGCACCCCCAGCCCCAGGGAGGAGAGAGCAGGCCACGGAGGTAACCTGGGTCACCTGACTCTTCCTGTCTCCTTCCTTCCAGTGAGCTGGACTATTACGACTCACCCAGTGTCAACGCCCGGTGCCAAAAGATCTGTGACCAGTGGGACAATCTGGGAGCCCTAACCCAGAAGCGGAGAGAAGCTCTGGAGGTGAGGGCCCCTCAGGGAGGTGGAGGCCGGCCTCTAGCAGCTCTGTGGGCCTCTTCTTGCTTTGTGAGGCCCTTTGCTTTGGGCCAAAAGGCTCCACTGCGTTGCCTGGACCTGCCCTGGCCCGACCACTGAAGGTTCACCCTGGCACTGGGTTGGGCTTTGCCTCAGTGGAGATGCCTCCTTTCTGGCCCTAACCATACCTCATCCTCATGGTTCAGTGCACTTCATAGCCCAACCCCAGCCGTTTGAGAACTTTCCTATTTACAAACCAGTCTGGGGGCCAGGCCGGGTGACTCCACTGTGGGATGGTCCATAGACCCCCATGTTAACAACGAGTGTCCCAGAGAAAGTCTGTTTTTCCCATCTGCCTTAGTCTGGTGCTTCCAGACCTGGACCGCTTGTGGCTGGCCAGGAAGCTCAGGGGTGGGGAGATGGGTGGGGGGAGCAGGGAGCGGTGATGCTGGATCTGACTCTACTGAAACCTTTCTCTCCACCCTCTCCCCTCAATTGCCATTCCTAGCGGACGGAGAAACTTCTGGAGACCATTGACCAGTTGTACTTGGAGTATGCCAAGCGGGCTGCTCCCTTCAACAACTGGATGGAGGGGGCCATGGAGGATCTGCAGGACACCTTCATTGTGCACACCATTGAGGAGATCCAGGTGTGCCACAGCCCCCTCACTCCCGGAAGTCGCCATGCCCCCCCCCCCCCGACACATGTGGAAACCTCATTCTTCAAACCTTACTCCTGCATGACTGCTCTGTAGGAAGAAGATGGAGGGATGGGGACAGAGTCCAAGGAGTTGATAGATTTAGAAGAACTGCATTTTATTTATTTTGACTAGGTAATCTGTGCAGGTGGTGTAAAATCGAAAAGATAAAAGGGATAGGCAATAAATTCTCCCTCCTACCTTTGTCCCCCAGCCCCACAGTCTGCGTAGGCAGGCAAAAGATATTTATTCATTAACATGTTCTTCCCCACACCCCTCTCGAACACAAAAAGTAGCTTTTATTGGATACTGTACTCTGAACCTTTATCTTTGACTTAATATTTTGGAGCTCATTGCGTTGTAATGAACCGCTTCCTCATTCTTCTATATGGCTGTAGAGTATTCGATTTAAGAGATTCTGCAAAGGAAGCCTGGGTGGGAGGAGGTCACCTGGGGAGCAGACTTGTCCCTGACCTGACTGTGGGACCACCCTCTAGGATGGTGGCTCCTGACTTCACCAGCCCTAGGCATGAAGCTGTTGCTTTAATGGCTCTGCCTTCACCCCTCCCTGTGGCCAGCCCTGCTCTCCTGGTTCTCAGCCGTGAGCAACCTAGGTTGATGTTCCGGGTCTCCCAGCTGGTGTGGGGCCAGGCCTTCAGTGGCCTTCCCACCCACCTCTACCCTGGGACCTGTTGGGCTTCCTTCATTCATCTTGCCCACACGAGGCACCGGTCGCTGTGTTTCTCTTGTATCCAGGGACTGACCACAGCCCATGAGCAGTTCAAGGCCACCCTCCCTGATGCCGACAAGGAACGCCTGGCCATCCTGGGTATCCACAACGAGGTGTCCAAGATTGTCCAGACCTACCACGTCAACATGGCAGGCACCAATCCCTACACAACCATCAGTCCTCAGGAGATCAATAGCAAGTGGGACCACGTGAGTCCAAGGGCTGGGTGCGACATGGTGGCCGAGCCATCGAAAGTTTTATAAGTGCAGGGATTTTGTCTTTTCTGTTGTTGCTTTTCATTGATTTTATTTTTTTATTTTTTCATTATTACATGGTGAGCACTTCTCTGTCAAGTTAATAATGAATGACTGAATTTCTGGAACAGGCCAACCTGTTCGCTCCTGCTCTGTTACTGACTGGCCCCTTCCCTTCATGGCGCCTCCATTCCCTCAGCTGAAGTATGGGGCAGGTGGCTGGCCCTTTCCCAAGGTCCCATGATTGTCCCCACCCCAGGTGCGGCAGTTGGTGCCGCGGAGGGACCAGGCCCTGACGGAGGAGCATGCCCGCCAGCAGCACAACGAGAGGCTACGCAAGCAGTTTGCAGCCCAGGCCAATGTCATCGGGCCCTGGATCCAGACCAAGATGGAGGTGAGTCCCATCGTTGGGGGGCAGGGGTAGGCGTTCGCACCTCTTCCCAGAACCGTCCCAGCCTGTCAGGCTTGCCTGGTCTCCTCCTTGGCAAGGCTCCTGGAGGAATGTGACTGGTCTGCTGCCCTACTGTGGGCATGGAGCCAGTCAGGGAAGGCCAGTGGGCTGGTCCCAATGTCTTGGGAGCGAAGACCCATACAGGGATGCTGCCCAAGAGCCACCTGAGAAAGTCCCACCGAGGGATGAGTGCCTGGGGAGCTGACTAGCTTACCCGTTGTCCTTTGGCTTATTTGGCTGACCAGGCCTCCCTTCCTCCTGAGCAGAGAGGAAGATCTTTCCAGAGAGAGAACCAAGACTCGGGCAAGCATGGAATGTTTTGCTGAATCGTTGGGCCGGATATCAGGGCTGTAGATCAGGGAAGGGGGTGCTGCTTGGGTTAGAGCATGGCGTCCCTCTGAGCTCCTTGAGGGCAAAGACCATGTCAAGGTCATGTTTGTGTCTCTCCTGTACCCCAGCCCTGCCTGCTTAGCACATTGTGCATAGTGGGTGTTCAGGAAATAATTTGCTGGGTCAAAATGAGTGCACAGAAAGGATTTTTACAAACGATGTTTGTTTACACGGATGAAGGACAGACAGAAAGGGGGATTGGCCTGGCCCATGGGGCAGGTGACACTGAGGCAGGCCGAGGCAGGCATAGCCACTGAGGAGGTAAGTCCGGTGCTTTGAGGCTGTGAGGAACCTGGCTCCCCAGGCACAGAGAGAGTCCCTGAGATGGGTGACAGTTGGGAACAAGGCTTGGGCAGGGAGTTTGAATGGCAAGCAGAGGAATGAGCATGTAGGTTAGCAGCTGACCTTGCAGCCCCTTGCTGAGGGTGAGAGCTACTCGAGAGGCAGTAGCGTTTGTCATACCCCTTTATGATGCCATTTCCATGCCAAAGTGCGTCCCTGCTGAATGTGTCTTGCTCTTGGCTTACTGATTACCACTGATGGGGTCCCTGGTGCTAGGGTAGGAACCAAGAATCATCTGAGAGACTGACCAATGACCTAGGTACCCCAGTCCTTACCCTAGGGGCACAGAGCGGGGTGGTCTGACCAGGGCTTCCTTCTGGGTGAGCAGGAGATTGGGCGGATCTCCATTGAGATGCACGGGACCCTGGAGGACCAGCTCAGCCACCTGCGGCAGTACGAGAAGAGCATCGTCAACTACAAGCCCAAGATCGACCAGCTGGAGGGCGACCACCAGCTCATCCAGGAGGCGCTCATCTTCGACAACAAGCACACCAACTACACCATGGAGGTGGGTGGCACTGACTCCGCTTCTCCAAGAAAGGAGTCCCGGATCCCATTCTGCTCCCTCCTCCCCTGGGCTGCGACAGGGAGCAGTTACCCACCTTCCAAGGAAGCTGGTCATACTAGGAAGACAGACTCTTTGCAGTGAGGGGATGCTCACGGCTCCTCACTCCTGCAGCTCGGGATCTTCAGTCCTCAGGGCCTTCTGAACTTCCCAGGGAGCTTATCGAGAATGCAGACTTCCAGGCTCCATCTCCAGAATTCGATTCTCAAGGTCCGGGGTAGGGCTGAGGAATCTAAGTTTTTACCAGCACCCTGGTGATCCGATGCAGGTGGTCTCCAAACACCGGCTTAAGCACCCACTGTCCAAGTGACAAATTGTTTGGGCCATGAAGGCACGGACGTGAGGTCACAGAGCAAGGATGTACAGGGAATTGACCGGGCCTTGTTTTTTAATCCCTCCCTCTGCCAAACTTACCCTCCTTCCTGACCTGACCCACGCTGTCAGTCTGGTCTCATCTGTCCCAGGCGGAGGCCACTGCCCTGCCTAAGCTTCCCTTTTCACCATCTGGGGCCTGTCCTAGTGTGTTGTCCTTATACTGGTGATGCCATCAATCTGGACAGAAGGCTGGATTTGATTGCTTGGGTCGTTTGGACAGTTGGGGAAGGCGTAGCCGGGAGCAGCCTGGGTCCAGGCCTGGGGACACTTTGCTAACAGGCCCCTCGTGCACTCCCAGCATATCCGCGTGGGCTGGGAGCAGCTTCTCACCACCATCGCCAGGACCATCAATGAGGTGGAGAACCAGATCCTGACCCGCGATGCCAAGGGCATCAGCCAGGAGCAGATGAACGAGTTCCGAGCCTCCTTCAACCACTTTGACCGGGTGAGAGCCCCCGCACTTAGAGCAGACCCCAGCCCCTGCCCCAGGGCCTTGGAGGGCACTGCCCAGGGGGTGGGCGGCCATGCCGGGCCAGTTTCTGGGCAGGAAGTGCTGTCGGCCTGTCCCGGTGTCCTGTGAATTTCCTTGCCTTTCTGGAGCAAGAGCTCATGGAGTGGGCGGAGAGCAGATCTTTGGCCCATGACGCTTGCTCTTCTGCCACGAGGGGTCAGCCCTTGGGAGCAAGGCCCACAGTCCCCTGGCTGTGGGGACTGTCGCTTGCATCTGCGTCCGGACAGAGGAGCAGAGACTTCCTCCCCACTGCACCGCCACCCCCCGCAGCCTTTGGGAGATGCTGTGGGGGAGTCAGTGATGTTAGTCTTGGGTTCTCATCCCAGCTCTGGGACAGGTTCTATGGGGGCTGCCCCTCCCAGTGCCCTGGGGCTCTGGGGCAGCCGGAGGGGTGGAAGCATGGGGCCAGGTGCTGCCCACCACCCCTGCCTGCCTCACTGTCCTCCAGCCTCATGGGTGGGGTGGGGGAGGCCCTCTTGGAAAGCCGGGGCTGGGCATTGGGGCTGGGGTGGGCTGGGCACCCCTGTGGCTCACCGTGCTCCCCTCTGGCCTGCTTCCCGGAGCAGGGCTGTGTGCGCCAGGGAGAGGGCACCCTCTGGACCTCGTCCGAGTGTCTAACCGTGTGCACTTTTATTTCCCCTCCTCCCCTGCCCCTTCCGCCCTCCACCCTCCCCATCCGCATGCCTCTGTCCCTGTGTCTCCCCACACACACCACCCTCCACCCGGGGCATGGCCCACCCCCCTCCCCTCACGGCCTCCACCTCCCTGGCACCGCATGGCTCGCTGCCTGGCACACGGCGGCCCCAGGATCACTCCGGCACGCTGGGTCCCGAGGAGTTCAAAGCCTGCCTCATCAGCTTGGGTTATGATATTGGCAACGACCCCCAGGTACTTGCCTCTGCATGGAGCACGCTCAGGGGTGGCATCCGGGGCGAGAAATAACGCGTCTCTCCTTTTTCTTTTCTCTCTCTGTCTGGATCTCCCTGTCCTCCCTTTCCTGTGGGCCTCGGGGCTCGTCCTCTGCTGCTGTCCCTGCCTGGCCCACGTTGGGCTGCTTTTCCTACTGCTCCGACCTCTGCCCTCTGCCCTTGGTTGTCTTTCGTGGGAACCTCCTCGGGGCCCACCCTCCTCTCTCCTCGTCGCTCTCCATCCTGTGGACGGACTTTTGCATCTCCGTGTTCTTTCTCCTCCCCGTGGACGTGTCTCTTCCTGTGTTCCTTTTCCCCTCCTAACCTCCCAACCGTACACCTCGACCTCCCCTCTGGCCACCTGTGCCCTGTCTTCCTGGCCCCGGGCCGGCCCTTCCTCCTCCTGCCTCTGACCCTCCTGTGTCTTGGCGCCACTGGCCCACAGAAGAAGACAGGCATGATGGACACGGATGATTTCCGCGCCTGCCTTATCTCCATGGGTTACAACATGGTAATGTAAACCCCATCCTCTGTTCTGACGAGGGCCAGCCAGCTGGCCAGGGAGGCCGAGTCCTGGCCAGGGCAGGCTGGAGGCCCCAGGCTAGGGGCTGCTCTCCCCAGAGGGCGCCTCACGATTGCCCTGAAGTCTGGGCCCGGCCTCGTGGCCTGTGCGTGTCCCAGAGGCCTGGCCTTCTTGCCTCTGTCTCCGCGCTGGCGGATCTTTTGGTACTTACTGTGGAGATGGGCTTTTTCACTCCCATGGTGGATGGCAGGGTTGACCCCAAGGCTAGCAGGAAGGACTGGTAGTTTGGCCTTTCTAGGGCGGGGTTGGCTCCACTTGGTCTTTTCGTAGAACACAGAGATTTCTGCCTCTGCCCTGGGGGCAGCTCTAGCCACTCCGGCCCCCTCTCCCCCACCTGCTGCCCTTGGCCTTCACAGCCTTCTCAGTTGTCTGCCCTCGTGCAGGCCTTCTGAGCAGAGTGGGGGCCTTAGCTGGGCAGCCAGGCAGCTCCTGGGCCATGATGCAGGGCTCAGCGTGTGGGCTGCCCAGGGCAAAGCAAGGGCGCAGGCTGTCTGTGCAGTGAGCCCGGGAGTAAATCCCACCTCTGCCATCATCTGCTTGGGGACCGGGCTGAGGTGAGGGGAACCCTGAGGACTGTCGTCGGGGTTAAATGAAGGAACTTCCATGAATGCAGGGCTCTGCGTCCTGACGCACAGAAAGTACGGTGTGGTGGGGAGAGCACATCCAAGTGTGCTCTTGGATGGTGTGAACCATCCAAGTTCAAATCCTAACTCTACTCTTTTGCTGGCTGTGTGACCTTGAGCAAATCACCAAGCCTGTGTGGGCCTCAGACTTCTTCTGTGGAAACCTGATGGAAATTATGAATACCTGCGTCCTCTGGTTGCAGTGGGCATTAAGTGAGATGAAATCGGTATGGTGGCTAGAATAGCTCCTGGCACACAGAGTATGCTCTGTGGCGTTCGCCACTGCGGCTGTTACCAGCGTTATCAGCATTTGTAACACCAGGAGACTGTAGAGGGGGGGAAGCCTGAACTGGGTCTCCACTCCCGGATGTTGTATCCCTGTCATGCCCTCGGGACCGCCCAGGGTAGGCCAGAGGGCCGCTGTGCCCCCCTCTGACAGCTTCAGGCTGAGCCCCCCAGGGCTTCCGGACCAAATGAAAGGTTTCCAACAGGCTGTGGCAGAGAGGCTGACAGGCCTGGGGTTGGCTCTTCTCTCCAGGGAGAGGCAGAATTTGCCCGCATCATGAGCATTGTGGACCCCAACCGCCTGGGGGTAGTGACGTTCCAGGCCTTCATCGACTTTATGTCTCGGGAGACGGCCGACACAGACACGGCAGACCAAGTCATGGCCTCCTTCAAGATCCTGGCTGGCGACAAGGTGGGTCTGCTATGGCGTGGGCCCCGTGCAGGGTGCTCTATGATGTGGAGGGGACGCTGCTTGCGCCCCGTGTCCCCTTCCTCTAGCTGGGCCTCACACTGCTGTCTACCTCTCCCCGTTTCTGTAATGCCCAGGTATCCGCTGAAGTGTTAGGACACAGTATTAGTTTAAAGGGGTCTCCTGCCAGGGCGTGGGACTCCTTCACACTTGGGATGGAGTGATGGATGAGTGGTGGAGGTGGGTAGAGTGGGGTATGTGATAGTGATGTAGTGTCACCCTTACATCATTCTGAGCACGGGCGTGGGAGGTTGCCGGGGAGCAGGAGAGAAGCATGCCCCTCATTCTTCTACCTTGAGCCGCAATCAGTTTTGGTTTGCAAATTTCCCAAGTTCCGTGTAATGCCCTGTCTGGCGATGGAAAAGTGGGAGCACCAGGGGAAACTAGCAAAGAGGGGGGAGGTCTAGAGACCAGATTTTCATTCCGTAAAATTCACAGGATAACCCTTAATGCCATCCTTTTTTTTTTTTTCCAGACCAAAAAGATTCATTATAAAAAATGAAAGCCAGTAGGGACTATAGTTTCAGAAATGCCTCAATCTATAAGGGAAAAAAGATTGAAACAATAGAGGTTCCTAAAGGTCTGGTTTAAGTTTAAGGATACCCTAGTCACACCTAGAGCTGGAATGACCCTGAGAAGCCACCTTGTTGAAGTGACTCTGGGTCTTCAGGCCCAATCAGGGCCTGGTCTCCTGACTTCTGGAGTGACCTGAGGTCAACCCTACACTCCTTAAAACTGGTTCTTAGGGGACTCGCAAGAAGTAAGGCATGGGGCGAGGGGCCCGCCTTGTGGGTCAGATCCAGGAGTGAGCTGCTTTGGAACCTAAAGCTTCTAAGGAGGCCTGTCAAGCAGACACCTGGACCGGGAGCCTAGCGAGGTGGGCAGGCCCACACCCTGCAAACAGATAGCTGTCTGCAGCCAGATGTCAAACTTGATGCTCGCTGTATTTGCTGAAATGACATGACCTCCACAGAGCCCAGCTCGAGTGGGTGTGGGGTCCCCAGTGTTCCACCAGAGTCCGTGCTGGTGTTGATCCCGCCCATGGTTCCTGCAGACTATAGAGGGTGCATGAAATTATGGGTGCAGATGCCACTTTGATTTAGCTTGGAAGCAGGCCAAAGTAGGTATTGAAATGGCAAACAGGAGATTTTAAATGCCTGTGTGTTTTGTGTATGCGTAAGAAACGTGTGTGTGTATGCATGGCATACATATGGGTGTGTGCGCAGGCGCACGTCTGCGTATTCAGGGGCCGGGGGCGGGGCCGGGGGCGGGGCCGGGGGCGGGGCCGGGGGCGGGGCCGGGGGCGGGGAGCCTGGCACTACCTGCCGCCCTGAATGAGGGTCCCGGCCGCCCCGCCTGCTCTCTCTGCAGAACTACATCACGGTGGACGAGCTGCGCCGAGAGCTGCCGCCGGATCAGGCGGAGTACTGCATCGCCCGGATGGCCCCCTACACCGGCCCCGACGCCGTGCCCGGTGCTCTGGACTACATGTCCTTCTCCACGGCGCTGTACGGCGAGAGCGACCTCTAACCCGCCCGCCCCGGCCAGCGCCCTCGCCCTGCCCGCTGTGCGCCGCACCCCCCCCCCCCGCTGCCCCCCTGCCCCCTCCCGCCCGGGTTTGGTCTCCTCGCTCAGCCTCGAACCGGGCGAGCCGGGACCCACGTGGCATCGAGGCTCCCCGCCCGCAAAGTGACAGTTTACAAAATTATTTTCTGCAAAAAAGAAAAAAAGAGTTACGTTAAAAAAAGTATTAAAAAAAAACCAAAAAACCACATATTTTATTATAGAAAAAGTATTTTTTTCTCCACCAGACTTCAATGGAAAAGAGGAAAAATTAACTGTTTGCACCGAAATGTTTTGTTTTGTTGTGACATAGGAAAATAACCAAGCACAATGTTATATTCCATACTTTTTATCGATTTTTTTTCTCTCTGTATCATCTGCTGTATTCATTTCTCCAATCTCATGTCCACCTTGATGTGGGAGTGGGGGGGGGGGTAGGGGATCTCGTCAGAAGGCACATTGGTGCATGTGTGTTTGCTAGCTCACTTGTCCATGAAAATATTTTATGATATTAAAGAAAATCTTTTGAAATGGCTGTTTTTTAAGGAAGAGAATTTCTGTGGCTTGTCTTCTCATTTTTAAGTCCAGAGGTGTGGTTAGCCTCTTTATCAGCACACACTTTTTTTCCCGTTTAAATTTAATATTGCCAATTGGAAATAGAACAAGACTGAAGAGTACGGACAACTTTGATGTTGTTTGTCACACACCATATTAAAGCGACAGCGTTCCATGGCAGCTTTTTGCTTGCTCCTTGCTTACTGCTTTCCAGAAGTGGGGGGAGGGGTCAAGGATGATGTGGGGCACCTGTACGCAACTTTAATATGTTTGTGACCTTGGCACTGTCAATCCAAGAGTTGGACACTTTCCCGACTGAGCCACCCAGGGCGCCCCTCTTTATCTTAAAAAGGAAAAGGTAGTTTCCTCAGAAGGCTCCTATGAATTGAGAATAAGGTCACGGATGTGTAAGGAAGGGACTCTTTAATGATAAGTCTTACCTTTGTTTTCTACAGCATCAAACAGCTCTGTGACATCTATGTGCCCCCTGTCCTCGTGTTTTTTGCTACGAGGGAACGCTCTGAACTCTCTTGGTAGGAGCCCTCCCACCCCTTGCTATTCAAAATGTCCTGCAGACAACAGCTGTCCAGCGTCACCTGGGAGCTCAGGCCCCACCCCGAATTTCAGAATCAGAATCTGTATTTTTTTTTTTAATTTTTTTTTGAAAGAGAAACAGAACACAAGCAAGGGAAGGGGCAGAGGGAGAGGGAGACACAGAATCTGAAGCAGGCTCCAGGCTCTGAGCTGTCAGCACAGATGGTGATGTGGGGCTCGAACCCATGAACCGTGAGATCATGACCTGAGCCAAAGTTGGCCGCTTAACCGACTGAGCCACCCACGCACCCGCTGAATCTGAATTTTAACAAGATCCCTAGGGCATCTGTGTGCACTGCTCTAGCTTTTGTTTTTTCTCCTTGCCTGTCTCTCCTCCCTGAGGCTGTCTTTTCAAGTTCAGGGAGTGAACATGATCAATGATCGTACTGGTAGTAGCAGTGCAGTAGACTGCCGTCTCCCAAACGGGCAAACTGCACCACAGTTCCCTGATCTATTAGGTGGGAATAATAGTGCTATTGGGAAGCCAACACGGTAACACATAGAGCTCCAAGAATGTTAGAACATTCTGGAATACTGCCCAGGGAACGAGGCAAGAAGGCTGTACAGAAGGAAGGATGTGGGGTAGATGTTGGCATTTGCTTTGGGAAACGTTCCTGTAGGTTTTACCACGGGCTGGTAAAAAGTCTGGTAAATGCTAGGTGTCAGTCTTTGGGTGTAGCTGCATGAGGAGAGCTGGTACACAGCCAGAGCCTGGTCTCGGAGGGTTGCAGTCCTTTGAGAGACGCAATTCACAAGGTGCCTTCTTTTAGCTTTTTATACACAAGTCTAATCAAGGGCACAGTAGGATAGGAGTTGAGGAGAAGGGGAAATTGTTCAAACCAGAAAGTTTCCTATACCCGGGGGGCAAGCACTTTACCGTGCCTCAATTTCCAGAGGTACGATCAATCAGCCTTTTCACTGCTCACTTTAAAAAAGAATTTGTGTAAGAGTCATTTCAACAAAAGTATGCTTACTGAGTCATTCCACATCCTTTAGAGAAATGCCCTTATTTGATTTTTTCAATGTTCAAGCGTGCTTGCGTGTATGCAAATAACTATAGTTACTTTAAATGTTCTATCTGTTCAAGAGGTAAAAATTTAAAAACCTATTTCTTAAGCTTTTTAGGTCACCGCACTTTCTTAAGCTTTTTAGGTCTTACTGTATTGACAACATAATGTTTTCTGTAGAAATAAAAACTCCTGCTTGTCCTAATTATTCATCCATTTTAAGTTAACCACCCTCAAACAACCCCATTTAAATCTCCCCAAATAATGAAGCTCCTTTACATATTTTAAACACAGTTACAAATTTTAATAATTCTTTCCAGGACATCAGAATGCCCAACCAAGGCAAGTTCAAGTCGAAGCAGCAAAGCAGTTGAAATATTATAAATGTAAATCAAGTTCTCTGGAGCAGTGCAAAGCCATTTACTAACACTTCTCTTACACCTCCAAAATTAAAATCATGCATCTAATTTCAATTACACATACCAGATGAAAAGCCCAAAGCAGATATATGCTGGGTTCTCTTATGTGTTCAAACTCCTTAAATTAATCCTCATGTTGTCATGGGTATAAAACTGCTTAACTTTCCCCCACCCCCACCCCACCCCCCTCACCCACCGCCCCACCCAGAATCTTAATACTGAGAGTCTGACTTACTTCATCCATTTACTTATTTCTACATAGGTGATTTCAAGTCCCTCTATTGCTCATTGCTGAGTTTTTGGGTCACAGGTTCAGAATTGTGACATATATCACATGGAGATTCCAAACCAGGACACAAGATGAAGCGATCACCCACTTCTAGATTTCATCCAAAGCACTGGTGAACTCATGTCCTTAACTGTAATAGTCGAGCGTTGTTTGCTGTGTCACCAGGATCCCCGAGCCCCTGCCCCTCACCTGGTGCATCTTTTGCAACCCATTGCCTCACCTACTGGTCATCACTTATATTTCACTCTTTGCCAATTCTCATTGTCAACGATTCCAGCTTACTTTAAATATTTGGGTAGGTGGAATTTTCTACCCTGATGCAGGTGGTAATTGATTGTTCCCGCATCATTGGGATGAACTCCTTGAATCTCTTTCTTGCCTACATACAGCATGCATTTCTCTTGTATTTTTGTCTGCCTCTGTCCATACATTTGGAGGGACTTTGTTGACAGCCTGATGAAAGCCAGTCTCCAAAAATAGCTCCCCTCTCTCTGGTCTGTCAAGCGTTTGGTTAAGATCCTATGACCATTCCAAGTCCCAGACCTGTCTCAGGAATCTGCCGTGTCCTCCATCCCTGGACCGACTCAAAACTGTCCCCTGGACACAAGACCAATGCCCAAAGGGTACAGTCAGTACGGTGAGTGAGTTACCAGAACTGAGAACAGTTAGGATTTCCTTGGGTTGTAAGGGGATCAGAGGCTTCGGCAGTTCCTTGGCCTGTACCAGGTAGGCTGCTGAGTATGGAGGATGTCCAAGGGTGGCATGTGTGGTGGGGTTGGGGGAGGGCTCTGATCCATCCCATTTAAACCCAGCCCAAGACTAGGGTCTGCCTTCTTGTCACCGAGGGAAGAAATACAACCACTTTTGACATCCATGCCTTTCAAAAGAGACGTGTGGGCTCAGGTGTGCCCTGCTACTCCCCAGCCAGGTAAATAACCTCGCCAAATGGTGTCAATGATGCCACTTTCCTTTTGTGCCTGGCACACAGTAGGCATTTAACAGGTGACAGTAAATATTAATATAGTTTTTTTTTTAATGAGCTGTGCTTTGTTACAATATTTTAAATATTCTTGGGGCAAAAGGTCTGATTCTAGAAAAATACCATTAAGGGGAGTCCTCTTCCGGTCTTTGAGCTCTGTAGCAGGCTCAATAATAGTCCCCACGAGACGTTCCCATCCTAATCCCTGGAACCTATGATTATGTTACTTTATGTGGCAGATGGGATGTTGCAGATGTAATTAAGGATCTTGGGGAGAATGTTCTGGATTATCTGAGTGGTCCTTCATCAAGAGGTAGGGATGGTGGAGGTAAGGGTTGGAGTGCTGTGGAGTCATAAGCTGAGGAATGTGAACAGTAGTAGAAGCTGGAACAGGCAAGGAAACGGCTCCCCTAGAGCCTCCAGAAGAAATGCGGCCTTACTGACTGCCTTTGTGTTTCTGATCTCCAGAACTATGGGCGTACCTTGATTCGTGGCACCTCACGGATACTGTGTTTGGCACAGGTTGAAATTTTTTTTTTTTTTTTTTGCCTTCTAATAGGCTGTTTATTTTATTTATTTATTTTTTTACAAATAGTTTATTGTCAAATTAGTTTCCACATAACACTCAGTGCTCATCCCCACAAGTGCCCTCCTCCATGCCCATCCCCCCTCCCCCCCCACATCCATCAGTCCTCAGTTTTTGTCAGCATTCAAGAGTCTCTCATGGTTTGCCTCTCTCCCTTTCCCCCACCATTTCCGCCCTTCTTCTCCCCCTTGTTCCTCCGTCAAGTTCCTCCTAATCCTCCTATACGTGCAAACATATGGTATTTGTCCTTCTCTGCCTGACTTATTTCGCTCAGCATAACACCCTCAAGGTCCATCCATGTTGCTACACATGGCCAGATTTCATTGTTTCTCATGGCCATGTAGTATTCCATGGTATAGATAAACCACATCTTCTTGATCCATTCATCTGTTGATGGACACTTAGGCTCTTTCCATGTTTTAGCTATTGTGGAGAGTGGCACAGGTTGAAATTTTTTGGCAGCCCGGAGTCAAGCAAGCCCATCGGCACCCTTTTTCCAACGGCATTTGCTAACTTTGTGTCTGTGTGTCAATAAAGTATTTTAATTTTTTAAAATATTTTTAAATTTATTTCTGAGAGAGAAAGACAGTGTGAGCAGGGAAGGGTCAGAGTGGGAGGGAGACGGAGAATCTGAAACAGGCTCCAGGCTCTGAGCTGTCAGCACAGAGCCCGACGCAGAGCTCGAACCCACAAACCATGAGATCATGACCTGAGCCTAAGTCAGACGCTTAACCCACTGAGCCACCCAGGCGCCCCAGGTATTTTAAAATTAAGGCACACGCGTCGTTTTTTTTTAGACATAATGCTATTGCACACGTGATAGGCTGCAGTGTGGTGTAAACATGACCTTTATATGCAGTGGAGAACCAAAAAATGCATTTGGTTTGCTTGATTGTGATATTTGCCTAATGAAGCGTTGGTCTAGAACCAAACCTGCAGTATAGGTTGGATGCCCATATAAGATAATAAATTCATGTTGTTCGAAGCACTCTGGTTGTGGTAGTTTGTTACGGCAGCAGTAAGAGACTAATCCATGCTCATCATCCACGCCTTGTGGAAGCCTATGTGCCTCCCTGACGTCCGTGGCCCATGTTACAGCCTTGAGGCTCTCGAGAAACTACTCCTGCTTCAAAGGCTTGAGGTTGTGATGTTGGCCCTGGGGAGGCTGTTGGATCGCAGCCCCTCGCTATGTCCACAGAGGAGGGAGGTAGAAGCTACAAAACCCTGAAAGTCTAAAAGGGCCAGAATGGCAGGACCTACAGGAAGCGGGTGGGCTGGTTAGCGCCCGGGGCTCAGGGACTGAGGGCTGCCAGCAGGACACAGTCTAAGACATTGACTCATGTGAGAAAATTAGGAGCTGAAGTTTCATTTCATTTTCATTCTCTGAGGATCACAATTAACAAAAATGTCCCCTTGTCCATCCAGAATTTTCTGGGGAGCCCCCCAGGCTCTACTCACTGCAAACTTCTTTTTAGCTCTAAATTTAGAGCCAGTGTTGAAAGCAGCATTTCAGGAAGAGAGGGAGGTGCCATTCTCCTTACAAGGTAAAAGAGGACGGGTGGCTCAGAGATGTCCAAGGAAGGTTAAATGCGGCCTCGGGGACAAGCCGATTGTGCGATGAAGGACAAGAATGTCCGTGGAATGTTAGTGTTAGAGAACCGATGAGGTCACAAAGTCCAACCTGTCCATTTGACAAAGGAGAAGATTACAGCCCGAGAGCCGAGCCTTGCTCGAGGGCACGGGGGGGTAGGTTGAGGCAGGGCTAGGGTGAATAGCCAAGTGTGGGGCCAAGGTGAGTGGGAGGAGAGAGGCAGGAAGAAGAGAGAGAGGGCTATTTTGTTTTCATACACAATCCGCATGAGATAATTAGATGTAATAACTCATTACCCAACCTCGTATCATCTGTGGATGATAATCAGGAGCTACTAGGTTATGTATTGATGAGGACACTTCTGGTTGCAAGAGTCATGAAACCAGTCTAAGCTGGTAAAGCCAGAAGGGTCGTGTCACTGGCATGAGTAGCTGGAGTGTTCCGTGGAAATGCTGGCTTCCCGGCTGCCTAAGGCAGGGGCTCACAAAGGCCAGCAGGACATGCTTCCCCTGGGTGGACTCCATTCTCAAACAGGCTCTCCTTCTGAGATGGCAAAAACGGCCAGGGGCTTCAGCCTCACCATCTTGCAACTTCAAGTCTAGTCAAGAGTCGCTCTTGAGAAGAGACTGACATTCCCCGGAGGTATGTCTGCTGGTGGCCTCAGCCAGGGCAATGAGATCGCTCACTGGCTTCCGCCTGGCCTGTGTGCTCACCCTAGATTGGAGGGCGCAGCCTCACTTGGGCCACCTGGACTCGGAGCAGGTGGGTCAGGATCCATTGCAAGCAACAGAAAAGATTCGGCCTCCCTGCAGAACTCACATAAGGAGTGGGTTCTTTGGATGCTGACGCTGGCCAGCCAGTGAGCATGACGTCACCCACGGAAGTGGGAAGGAACGGGTTCCCACCCCAGATCAGGGGTTGTGGCTGGAGGCAGGGGGCACGAGTCAGCACGATGGCCAAAGGCCGAGGTCCAGGCAGCCTCCCTCAGCCGCTGCCACTGCCCCACCCATACCCAGCAAGAACCCATACAGTTCTTGCATCTCTGTGCATGGGCACTGCCCCCCAGAACCACAGAAGGTCACTGTTCCGGACGACGAGGCAGGCTACCAGGAAGTAACACCCAGGGAGAGGGAGTACCAGCCTGCTCACCCCTCGGATGGGATGATTGTGAGACACGGGTTTTGCGCTACTTCACAGCGTTTCTTCACTCAGTCTCGCTGCCCACGGAGCTCACAGCGCAGACAGCCATCTAGAGGCTGCTTGGGGAATAACCCAAATAAACACGCAGCCCATTCTCAGGGACGTGCCAGGCTTGTGACTTCACCTGGGAGCCCCTGTCTAGACCCTTGAGATGAGCTCCAAGGGGATCCCATGCCCAGTCCAAACACAGCCCTAGAAGGCTTGGACCTGCAATGGAGAATCCTTTCCTGCTGCTGCCATGTCAAGAAGGGGACACTGAGGTGTGCTTGGGTGGCTCAGTTGGTTAAGCATCCAGCTTCAGCTCAGGTCATGATCTCACAGTTCGTGGGTTCAAGCCCCGCATCAGGCTCTGTGCCGACAGCCAGCTCAGAGCCTGGAGCCTGCTTTGGATTCTGTAACTCCCTCTCTCTCTGACACTCTCCTGCTCACGTTGCCTCTCTCTCTCTCCTCAGAAATAAATTAAAAAAATCAAAAAGAAAGAGAGAAGGAACGCTGAGCATGCAGGGAGGGGCGGCTGCCCACCTCAGGGCTGCCTGAGTCTTTCTTCATGTGCAGCCAGCGGCTGGCAGGGTGGGAAAATAAAGAGCCTTCTGTGTGCCTGCAGAGGACTGGGGGATCCTGGTGGCCAGGCATGTGGACACTGAGCAAACTGTCACTGGGCACCCATGGGAGACCCCAGGTTTAGGAGCGAAATTCTCATTTTATAATTCAAGGCATTGGGAAAGCAGTTCTTTATGCAAAAGTTGTCTCTAAAGGATATATTTTCGGACACACCCATGCACTAAGCACTGCCTGGAGTACAGTGGATGTTAGGTAAAGCAACGAACCCCGAGTCCTGTAAGCCCCCATGAAGCCTCCCACCATCCCCACACTACCTGAAGATGCTCTTCGAGAAAGCAGGTCTTAACATGAGCTAGGTGGATGTTGCCCTCTAGTGGCCAAGTGTGTCTTTACAGCGTTTCACAGCTGAGAGCGGCTGAGGGTAATATAATACCAAAGCTCTCACCCTGACAGCCTCCCCTGCTTCCCTTCGCCCTGCTCTCAACGTGTGTCGTTGAGTGAGTAATTTCTGGGATGGTGAGGGGCCTTGACCTGTGCCACAGAGGGACAGCAGATGCAACCAGGCACACTTCGCAGGAACAAACAATGGCTAACACTTGTTGAGCACTTACGTTGCATGGGCCCAAGTCTTAAGCAATTTACATGCATTTAAACTCCACACATACTACTATTGTCCCTTTAAAAACCAGGAAATCAAGGCGTAGACATTCTAAGTTAGTGACAGAACTGGGATTTGAACCCAGGTGTCTCTAATCCCCAGAAGCAATGTTTCATTCTCCTTACCAGTGGTTCTCAAACTCCGCTGTGCTTGGGAATCGTTTAGGAAGTTCGTCAAAGAGTCCAGGGCTCTGTCTCCTGAGAACATGATGGAGTAGGTCTAAGAAAAGCAAAGAGAACTGGGAATCTGTCCCTAGGATGTTCTGAGTAGAATCCCGTAAGTAATCCAAGCAGGTTCACAGGCCACTTTGGGAAGCACCAACGTAAAATCTCATCATTGTCTGGAGGGAGGTTTTGTCTGAATACAAAACAAAAAACAAAAAAACAAACCCTACTAGTTATATATGTGGAGTCGATTAACGTCGCATGCCAACTATTGTGACAGGTGCTCTTAGATACACAGCCTCGGTTCCCCTCCTTGATAACTCTTTGAGGTCAATGTCCCCCATGCACAGATGAGGACTCCTCCACGAGAGAACAAGCCCTCCTCTCCCTGCTCTCTTCTACGTGGGGAATCCATTCACTCGGCATTCTGCTACAGGTTCAAGGGCATCTCCAGTATGCTGCTCCAGAATAGGCCATTTCTGCATAGGGATTATTCTGAACTGAAGGTGCTCGAGAACCAGAAGCAGATACAAGAAAGGCTCCCTGTCTTATCAGTCTGATTGTGTCTCCTCCTCTCTTCTATTAGGAAAGACAGAAGTTAGTCACCAGTGAGAACTCTGTGTACCCTTATCTTCCCACACACGACACCAAAGAAACCTATGTAACAAACCTGGCTAAAACTAGCCCGTGTTTAACATACCTCTCCTCATTTGCCTTCCCACAATTTGCTGCCCTAGAAACTGAAAGCCCTTTTTCTGTGTTTCGTTGCTTCTCTAAAAATGTATTGTTCTTCAGTCAAGATGCTGTATAAGCCCAAGTTCTAACCACCTTCTTTTTTTTTTTTAATGTTTATTTAGTTATTTACTGAAAGAGAGAGAGAGAGAGAGAGAGAGAGAAAACTAGTGGGGAAGGGGTAGAGAGAAGGAGAGAGAGAGTCCCAAGCAGCTCTGTGCTGTCATCACAGCCCCATTTGGGCTCGATCCCACGAACCTTGAGATCATGACCTGAGCTGAAACCAAGAGTTGGACCCTCAAATGACTGAGTCATCCAGGCCCCCCATCCTTCTGAGTTATTCAACTCTGAGTGCTCCCATGTGTATGTGGGAGGGCTCTGTTAATAAACTTCTGTTTGTTTTTCTCTTGTTGATCTTTTATCATCAAAACTCTACCCTATCATTAACTTCCATTTACTTCATTTGGTACTTCAAAGCGAAAGCATAACTTGGTATATTAAAAAGTTAATAAAAAGTATAATAAAAAGTTAATAATCTCAAGTTTCTTTTTCTACTTTTTAAAGCGTTAAGTGAATTTCTTCTGTTTTGAGGCTTTTCCTCTGAAGTACAGCAATCGTTACTTCAGATTTGTGATTTTTACAGAGAAATATGACTTGAATTATTAATCATCCATCTGATTTAAGGAAGATCTACCATTTAAAATAGACAAACATCGGGGACACCTGCATGGCTCAGTTGGTTCAGTGTCCGACTTTCAGCTCATATCATGATCCCACACTTCGTGGGTTCGAGCCCCGCATCGGGCTCTGTGCTGACAGCTCAGAGCCTGGAGCCTGCTTCGGATTCTGTGTCTCCCTCTCTCTCTGCCCCTCCCCTGCTCGTGCTTTGTCTCTCTCTGTCTCTCAAAAGCAAATAAACATTTAAAAAATTAAAAAAATAAAATAGACCAACACCTAAATCCTTCCAGAAGATCTATCATTTGTTAACTTTTTTTCCGACTTTGTGAAGTAGATGTTAATTTTTTTTTTTTTTTTTGAGAATCTGAGTCCAAATACCCGTGGAAACAAAACGCAGAAGAAAATTTTTATTCTAATATTACAGTTGCTATTATAGGAGTAGTTCTAGATAAAGTGGAAAATACTTGTGAAATCGGTCTTTTGTTAGTCTAAATATTCAGTGCCCCAGCCGATGAACCTGAGATGGGTAGAGGAAAAAAAGGGTTTTTTTTCCCCTCCCCTACACCCCCATGGAAATAAGCACCTTGATGTTGTTGGGGACTTTTGCATTGTCTGGCAAGGGCCCAGAGTAAGAGCAGGTAGTACTGTTGTGCTAAATGCCCCATTGGCTGTGAGCAGGCCTGAGGAGGGTTTGCCAGGCCTGTAGGGCGACTGTCCCCAGATGTCGCAGGGGTGGGGGGAACATCAGTCCCCGCATCAGGAATAGCTAATCCCTGGGACCGGCCCCGTGGGGGGAAGATGAAGCACTGTAACAGTCCATTTGGGACCCAAGTCCTGGTCCCTGGGGGGCTGCTTTTCACGGGAGCCCGCGGAGTGCTCTGAAACCAGGATGCAGCCCTGCAAGGAAGAGGTCCTGCGAGGTAAGCTGAGCAAGCAAAGCGGCAGGAAAACGCCCAGCAGGCGGGGAGGGGGGGCCAGCTTGTTCATGGTCGGGGCCCCACCACTGCTGCTCCTTGCCCCCCGCCCTTGTTCTTCAG